CCTCTCTCCCCCCTCTCTCCCCCATTCGCCCCCCAAAACCCCACCAAAAATCAAAAATAAATGCCAAAAACCAAGCCTAAGGCTCGGACTAACTCTGCATCCCTACATCTCTTTTGGCTCTTGAGTTCAGGAAGTTAGTTTCTCTCGCAAGATCAGTGGCCCCTCCACTTGACCATTTCTACTGATTTGCTAGGGGGAGGTGTGTTGTTTGTCGATATAACACTTTGTTGGTGGGAGAGTGGGAGTTTCTTCTTTTTGTGTTCGGTATGTGTGGGTACAGGTGTGTCAATGTATTTTGAGAATGTAAAACAGTAAAATGGAGGGACAGCATAGTTTGGAAGGCTACTTGGATATTGTGGAAATTGTTTTGAAGGGACAAAGAATATCTATCTTTTGCAATTTTAACAGGTTTAATTAATCAAAAATTAAAAACGTGGTCTAAATCGTATACTAGACGTCTAATACGCATCTTCACGCTAGCATGATACTACAGCCAGAGTAGAGGTCTGGTCCTATTAATGTGCTTTCTTGTATTAAGAGGCCTTGCTTGGAAGGAATCATTCAGCCCGTCAAACCCGTCCAAGGAATTCGTAGGATCCAGCTTGAGGCGAGAGCGAGCATATTTTCAAAATCTGCACAGAGAACAGATAGACGTAAAGCATTTTCCGGGCATCCTACGAAGAAGAGGGGATTATTCAACCCAGTACAGCAACCAACAGCACCTTTCACACAAGGGCAAAAAACAAGAATAAATACTGAATTGAGAAGGGTTCCCAACCCTGATATGCTATTTCCAATACCCCTAAACGCCATCGCTACCAAGAATGCAATAAAAAACTTCAACACAACGCTTCCTTATGCCTGCTTATCACTTATCCTGTCCTACAATGCCGGCAGATTCTCCCTACAGATGGGACACTGCAACCTAAACCTCATCCACCCCTCCAAACACTGACTGTGGAAAACATGTCGACAAGGCGTCACCATATAAAGCCTCCTGTTCAACAACCCCGTCACGCTATTCGCCGAACCTGCATCCTCTCCAGCAGCTACAACCGGCACCTCAAGAACCTGCATACAAATCGCGCAATCCACACTCCTAAAAGTCCCATCTTTCCTTTTCCTATCCTCTGAACTCCAGGTATCACTCCGCGACAAAGTTGGTGAGCCAGCTGGTATCTGAACAAGACCAATTGGAAGGCCTCCAGCTTCAGCATTATCCTCCAGTAAAATAGGGTGATAATCCCATCCCTCCTCGGTCCAACCTTTTGGTACACACCATCGAGGGCCAAGAATCTCTTGGGAGATGAGTATCCAGATCTGGATCCATACCCAGCCGGCATATACCCAAAACGCTTTCCAATCCGTTTCAGAGAAAAGAACGTTGTCTTCTTTCACGTAGAAGTATGCGAATGGAAGGAGACGGAGAACTGACTGGCCGACAACGAATTTCCAGAGGAGGGCTTTACGACAATTGCGTACAATGTTACGCCGGATTTGGGGAAGCCAAAAAGACAGGTAGAAGATTGAAATTATGTGGACATAGGCGCTGCGAAATGGTGTGGACCACGAGGACGCTGAAGCCGAGAGGAAGAGGAGGAATGTGAGTCCGATTACGGATCTTATATAGAGAGCAGTAAAGGTAGAAGAGCTTGGAGGTTGTATTGGGGCAGCTGGGGTATTGGTGGTTGGGAGAAGGGGCCTTGCAAGTCTTGCTTGGGCGGCAGCCATTCTGTCGGCGATCTCGATATCGAGTTCTTGATCTGACGGTATAATGATAGGGGGATCAGGTGTAATAGTTGGATTTATTGGCGCAGTGGTTGCTGTAGTTGGATCGTGCCCTTGAGCTCCTACAATCGCTTGAGCTGCGGCTACTTGGGGTGTAACTGTCGATTGAGGGGGACGACTGGCAGCTTCGGCTGCCTGGCGAAGTCTGAGACGTTCTCTACTCTCTGGCTCTTGAACATTGTAAACCGCCCCAACAAACTTGAGACTCAAAGCCACGGATAAAAGAGCAGAAAATGCTGAGAGAAGCGAGGATGGGAAAAGGTTGGGAGCCAGGGTTGTCAAAAAGCTCAAGATGGAGAATAAGAAAGCATCGCCCAGCAACATCATAGTCACAGTGTACAAACTGACTCTGCCGATGGTCGAGGGGGTTGAAGCTTCTTTGGACTGAACTTTTAATAGCAAGATCTGCCCAAACATCACGAGGGCAAACATAAGCAGCCAATGCTCAATATCATGGAGCCACGACTCTTGCTTCTTTCCAACGAGATGCTCTCCCTCTTTTGGCGAGAAACCAGGCGGTCCTTTTGATTCGAGAATGAATCCACAATCTGGGGAAAACATTACCGTAGACATTTGTAATTGCGGAATCGCAGGAATAGGAGCCCCATTTGGATATCGGAGCTCCTGCTCGATAGCCTTAACGACATCTTGTTCCCGTAAATATGCTCCCCCAGTAGTGCGATCGATTTTGACGGGATAAACCTGAGCGAATACTACAAACTCACAATGAGGAACGGGCGACATTGCATCGCCTTGACTTTCGGGGCTCGATGTCCATGGGTTACTCGGATCAAGCCAAACGGCATGTTCCATACGCTCAACAGTCTTCTCTAAAGTCATATTGAGTAACTTCTGGCTCGATGCAAAGTATCCCGTATTCATGGTCAGATGTGGCAAACCAAAAATACCCGCGAATTTGTCGCTGGTTGTGGTCATGAGAAGTACTCCTGTCCTCGGCCAATGTATTCCATGAAGTCTCATCTCCCAGCCATCACCACTACTAGTTTCGTCCTGAATCGTCAGAGTTGCGGAAACGTCTCTGATCAAATCTGTATTCCATTTATCGTCCTTTCCATCCGCTTCTCCGGATTCTTGTAACACGCGATCAGCCTTTACCTTCTCAGATAGCACCATTTCGTCAGCATCTTTCTCGTCAACCTTCAACACCATCTTCCCTTCCTGCCCTGTGATATTCCTCGTCCAGAACTTCTCGTCTCTAAAAGACCAATCAGTATCCGGACTAATTTCCGTCAAATTCAACCCGGATGTCTCCGTGGCATTCCCTGGCTCTATATTATGGAATCTCGTCCAACTCCCCACCACAATGCCCGTGACATTCTCATAGACCTCCCCTATCAATCCCAATCCCCGGTTCTTGTCCTCTCCTGTCCCTAACCTCTTCCTCGCCTCCTCACTAAACACCTCGCATCTTTCTCTGAAAGGATCCAAGTATTCCCATTTATACCCATCCTCCTTTCTGAAGCCCGTGATATTTAGATATCTGCCGGGGTCGTAGCCCGGTGTCTTCTGATCGCGTGGGGCAAAATCCTGCCACCGCGTCGCATTGAGAATACCGAGGGAATGTCTGGACTTCGCGACTCGGTCGGCAGCGTAGTCGCGTACTGTTGGAAAACCTGGTCCGCCGGGCTGATTTCCATTTCCATTCATAAAGACGAAGAGGAGGATTATGAAGAAGAGTCTCGAAGCGTATTCGCGGGAAGGAGGGGGTTGTTGGTCCATTATCGGGGAGTGGGTGCAAAGACCGAAATTCCAATCATTGTAGCTTCTTTGAGATAATCGCCAGAGTATTGTTTGCAATATAAATATGGTAGAAGAGGTCAGAGTGCAAAGTGTACCTCCAAGTCGTGGTCTTTCTGGAATCCGGGGTAGATGAGCGAGCCCGGACCCCTAGATCGAGAGTAATCGGATAAATTATTAATCCATTCAAGCACTCGGTGACATCAACTTGACCATCAAGACTCTTGAACGTAAACATTTACCAACACAGAACTTCTGTGCTATTTGAGTCCATACAAAGTGCAGCACCAGCAGTGAAGAAACACTTTTCACTTCCTCGCGCATACAAAATGGCAGATAATTCGCAGTCAAACAACCGCCTGAGCATGACCTCTGTAAGTGTTTGGTCCCTCCAACTACCTCTCTCCGGAGTGTACCACCCTGGAAAGGAACAGAAGACAATTCTAACAGTGTAACACTAGACAAACACCGACGACACATCACTTAATGCCTCGGCCGAGCTCTCCGTCAAGATCGATGATCTACTGAACCAACTCTCAAACAAGTTCGCCGGCGTTTCAAGTGAGATATTCGCAAAGAGTAAGGCCTCCAGGTAGCTAGCTCTATCACGTCGTGGAATTCTGCTAATGGACTATTCTCGAAATAGTGGATGAGATGTCGCGACGTCTAGATAACCTCGAGCAAAATCTTCAAGCAAGTAACGATCGGCCGGGGAGTAGAGATGGGAAGAGTAGTCCAACGAAGACGTGAACATTTCAAGAAGGATGGCGGGAGGCAGATACGCGCTTCAACCCCATATGTGGAAGGCGTTAACGTTTTTTGGGTCCATGGGTTGAAAGCTTAGGTAGTTTGCGTTTCACTGGGTTCTACGGGGGTTAATGGCGTCCTCGATAATGATACCAAGTCTCTTTAGATAAAGCAGAGAAGACAATTCCAAGTAAAAAGATTTTATTTTCCCAACCTGGCTGAGCCCATGTCAAAACAGCCTACCAAACTAATGCTAATAAAACCACTTTTAACTACTTTACAATTCAGTCTTGCCAGTAACATCAGCAATAAATCTTCTGAGAATGTTGGTCTTGCTGGTAAATTCATCGAGCTTGGCTGGTGCCAGACCACCCTTCTTGATAATGCCGTCCAAACGAGACAACTCCTTTGCGGCATAACCCTCGCTCTTGGACAACTTGTCAAAGACACGGACGTAGTACTCGGCATATTTGTACTGAGCACCCTCCTTCATTTCTTTGGCAGCCTTGGTAGCTTCAGCAGCAACGTCGGCAATGCTTGAGCCTCCGGTGAACTTAGCAACAATGGTGTCCAAAGCTTCAATTGTTCCTGCGGTAGCATCGAGTCCTCCTCCTGGTGTACGGTGGGTACCAGCTTTCTGGTTCAAAAACTTGATGATATCTGGTTGTGTTCGTCCGCTGTCGTACATCTCTGGCTCTTTGCTGCCCTTGGGGAAGAACTTGATGGTAGGATATGAGGCGACTCCTTGGTCTTTAGCAGTAGCCTTGGAGTTATCGGCTTCAGCGTCAACCTTGGCAACAACCACATTTGGCTCACTGGCGAAATCTTGAGCAACCTTTTCCCAGACTGGTGCAAGAGTTTTGCAGTCTGTACAGAAGTTAGCATGTGCTTCCAAAAATACACATATAATAAAACTTACGTCCACACCAAGGAGCGGTGAAAGCAACCAATACATCCTTATCCCCACCAATTGTGCTCGCAAAGGTCTGATCATTCAGCATCTCAACCTCGCTTGGAGCCATTCTGGACTTCTTGACCTTAACACCAGTCTTCTTTGCAATAAACTCCGTCAAACTCTCCAAATCTCTTCCTCCATTGTAATCTTCGGGCTTCTCACTTTTTCCGTCAAAGAACTTGATCGTAGGGAATCCTTGAATACCAAATCTCTTGCCTAACGACTTCTCGGCATCTGCGTCAACTTTGGCAATCAGGACCTTGTCTTTGGAAGAGGCGAAATTTTGTGCGAGCTCTTCGTATACTGGGGCGAGACTCTTGCAATGACCACACCATGGTGCGAAGAATTCGACGAGCGCTGGCTTTCCTGCGAAGACGAGCTTGTCGAAGTTGTCTGGAATGAGATCGATGACAGCTGAGCCATCATATGTTGGTGGTGGTCCCCCAGGTCCAGCTGCAAAAGAAACACTGGCAAAAGCAGTTACTGCGAGCGCAAAGCTCTGTAGTAGTTGAACCATGTTGTTTGTGATTTTGTTATTTGAAGAATTTGGAGTATGTATATGCGTAAGTTTTGAGGTTGAGATCCAGACGTTTTTATGTTGAATTATGACGAAGAGAAATCCGATTTCCAACCAGCTTGATATGGACAGATAGCTTAAGCTTGGATATGCTAGGTGGCGTACATTCACTCAACCACTCAGAGCTGAGAACGCCTGGAAAATGCGGCCCCACATTGAACCTACCCCGGCACCAGCCGGCGTGCCGTGCCCTGCCTCGCCTGCATGAACAACCTCAACAACTTAACGTTCGAGTACATCTTTATAGACGTCTAATACTCCAATTCCAACTCTAGCGGTTTTCAGCCTCTATAAATACTTTGCTGGTTTCACCTAACCTATGAAAAGCAAACAAAATAGAATAAGCCCAAGGTTCCTAAGACCATTTATGTAGTCTACTAGTCAGCCTCAGAGTATACATAAATTAATTCTTTATAAGTGAAATATATAAGTCCGTATAGTGACTCTTGTAATCGACCAATTAGAGAATTTCTATTTTTCGAATTAATTCTGTACATTTCGATTCCAGGGCCAACGATGGTTTCTGAAAAATTAAAAATTGAATCTAAATTTACTAATTCACTGATTGATTGATTATGAATTTCACTATAAATAAAAAACATATTTCACTATAGAGATTTAATTCTTATATACTCCGACACCAACTAGTTGAATCTGCACTTGAACCTTTTTCTATTTTACGACTATTGAAACTTGAAAGAACAACTCTCTTTCTCGTCCTGATTTGTTGCCTCAACTAATCCTTCTAACCTGAGCTCCGTAGCTGTTTATAGGAAAGCCAAACTCGTCTTCTCCTGCCATCTTGGCAGCTGGATCATGCTGCTGAGGAAAGAGTTGTCGGGTGGTTAAATAGGTCACATGGCAAGAAAAGGTGTATTAGGGCATTCATCTAATGTTTTAGCTTTACTACTCCCAAAAACAACGTTTGGGCCGGTCTTGTACCAGAGTTTTGGCAATATCATTTCATTGGAGGTCTGATGGAAAACAAATGTCAGGGAAAGATGATAGATAAAGTTCTCCATTTTCTGAGGCCATTTTTGAAGAAATTTAATAGAAAGGAAATGACATACTCGAGTACCTTAATACAAAATGGTTTCCCTTATTTGCTATAATAATTTCTGGGTTTTTGTGGAGGCGAAAGGGGGGTTTGGAAAGCCTTGCATAACTGAGTTGACCAAACGAAGATTATAGTAGTTAAACCAAGTCTCACCTCGTTCGATGTGTAAGAGAGGCGGGCATTACTCCGTAACCCTGAGTTATAAAAATATTAATCTAAAGACCTGATATAACTAAATCAATTATACGAATAGTTTAGAACAATTGATACTTTTCACTCCTTATTAATTAATGTAAAATAGGACAATTAATTAAGTTATACTAGACTTTTAGTATATTGACTTTCAATAGCGTATATAGAGCAATGTCTAGATTTCTTACTAGTTAGTTCTAGAGTATATGAAAATTAAGTGTTTATAGTAATGGTTAGGTGATGTATGATTAGTAGTAAGTGATTCGACCAATTAGAAGATTTAGCATTTTCGATTAATTATATATATATGTTGTTGTTTTTTTCTTCTTTTCTTTCCGCATTGTGAAAATAACCACCACATAACATATCACTATAAAGACTTGGTTCTTATATTCTAGAGCCAACTAGTGGTCTTTGCCTCGGCGAAGTCGACCAGCTTAACAATGTTGCAATTGGTGATCATGTATTAGCTTGTATTAACGCCGATTCGCGCCGCCTTTAAGCACAGAATTCGCCTTACCTTCTAAATGATGGCGCTGTGGGCGTGCCTTCAGTACAACTGGTAGAGGCACCCCTCACGCATTCGGCTCAATGATAGGAACTTATTAGGAAGTGTAGACTGAGTTTGGAAACCTTCAAACCCAATATTAAACGTCACGTCCGAATCTCAGTCAAGGTTCACAAGGCATGCTTTACTTTAGGCTCCAAAGGTTTATGAGCCGAGCTACACACACCCCAACGCAAGATTGGTTGATTATAGATAGCGGCACAGTACTGTGATTATGAGCATGTTTGAAGAAAGGTTTTGCTCCTCGGTAACGTAGTAGAGTTGTCTATTCGGACAATTGATTTACTTTGCCATTCCGAGATGAGAGTGATTTTGCCGCGCGTTTTTCATAATATAAACAACGTTTTTTAGTGTGTATATAACCAATTTTACAGCTTTTGTCGTTGTTTTGCAACCTCGATTTATAAACGATTTATTATAAAATAAGCTGTAGGATTTGTATGACATCTTTAATATAACGAGAATTCAAACACAAATCGAGTGCAAGGTGTCTATTCGAAAGCAAGTCCAAATGCAAGGTCTCTAAATGTGTGTCACGGTTACTAAAAACACCTAACTCGATTATAATATATAGGTTTTTACAGAATTGGGTTTTTATTTATTTAACAACACTCGGTCCTCTACTATCTCCACAAGTTATAATAGTGTTTTTAGCACAGATATCGTCCACTATTTAGTACGAACCTACGCTTTACCTTAGATTACTCTCGGACTTTTGTAATTATAAAAATCCACGGCAAAATCACTCTATTCACCTTTTGGAAGGAACTCGCTAATCAGGGAACTCCAATGCTTGTAAAGTTGGTCTTTGGTTTATCAAAGCCAGATTTCCGAATTTGTGGCCATTTCCGATTTTCCGGAACTAACCTTGAATGTACTGTGTATATAGCAGTCACTCCAGAATCTTGAGCTTCTCTTGTTTAACCCAAAACTTCAAGCACAGGTTTTGTTGCTTTGTCTTCATTCACAAAACATGGACTCTGATCCGTCCGATACGGAATCCGCCCCCTCGCCAATCATTGTGGTCTATGATACATGCCGTTGTAACCACCCTCACTACCCCGGGCCTAGTCCTGACCAAAAAATTGTAGTCGAATGCGGCTCATGTTCTGGATGCTGTACTTTCTGTGCACATGGCGCCTTGTGCATCCAAGCATGGAGTGTTTTTAAAAGTTCACAAAATATTGTTCATTCCGCCTATATCTTCAAAGTTCCTGGAATGGAGTAAGTGTTTGAGTTTCAGACAGCACTTTTACTATGACTAATAAATCGCAGAGATTTCCAAATAGGATGCAGGTGGCGCTATCTTTCCGAAACGGAGTCTCAGCCACAGCGGGGAAGAGAATTGATTAGGAACGAGTTAGAGAATCTCAAAAAAAGGATTTTGGACGAAAAGCTTGCTTTCCAGAAAATGAAAGAAACTCCCACGTTTCAGGAACTATTTGGCGGACGATTCGGTTATGGCAACAATGAATCGTGGATAACCGTCGATATGGCGGACAGGCATTCATTGAGGGACCTACGACGTGACTTGCGAGCGACAGTGCCGGGAAAGAAGATGCAAGTAATATTAGAGGACCTTCTCGAGAAGACCAATCAACTTGAGAAGACACTTTTGCCTCGAGAGGCCATTATATCATTGACATCCGAACCAGATTTGGGGCCCGACACATTGTCATCCAGGCCTGAATCATTATTCCGGACTCCATCTGATCGTCAAAGCCAGGTTCACCATCAAGAGTCCATGTCTGTCCCTGAACCTCAGTTCAAAATAGCAAAATCCAAACAAAAACCAAGGACGCGGCTACAACGCTCAAGAATGCAAGAGAACTTATCTGGAGGGGTTGGTGGTAGCCGCAGTACATGATGGCAGGTATCATGGGGTCTGCGGAAATGTATACTCGTACAGAGGCAGGAAGACACGTGGGACTACTTCGTATGTTATAGCTGGTTATCAAAATCTCGGTTGTTTTGTTGAAAATTGTGGGAATTACAATATCTTCTTTCAGATCTGAATAATGTGCCATAAGAAGCGATCAAAGTCTATATCCCTTCTCCGAATCTTCTATTCAAACCAAAACACTCCCAGCTAGTGTGATATCCTTTTTGAATCTAAATCTGGAAATTTCTATTCATTCCTCATCTATAATCAACCTCTGATACTCTTCGCAAATGAAGATAGCTCTGAAATGTGTCACCATTCCTTTCTAGTACTTATTATGATATTCCTATACAACATAATAAGTTTCTATGCGAATTAAAACAGATCCAGCTCGCGAGTCCAGTTTGGGCATAGTAAAGTTGGTCTCATCAGAGCGCGCAAGCATTCGTAACTGTTATAAGGCATTTTATATTCTTCGAATATTCGATTGTCGTAATGCTTTGAAACAATAAGAATGCAATTATTTTGGTTGTCTGGGTTTTTATGAATAATTAAACCTATTTCTTGAGCTTCGATTGAAAGATTGCCATCGAAAGGTAGAAGAAGTGCTGCTACTTTTTGTCAGTTATGAATTCTCGCACTACCTAGTTTCCCTGCTTGAGTGTTTCGAAAACGGCGTGAGAAATGTGCCTGGGATTATTTTTGCCCTAGTTTTAGTAAACTTAATAATGTGAGCCTAATAATAAGCTGGAAAGGGGGTAGAAAGAAATGTTTTTAAGGGTTGGAATAGCTTTCTAAATCGCCCTTTTATACTTGAGTTACAGAAATCTTGTACTTGCACTACCTAGGTAATATTCCTGTTTACTCCAGCCTTTTCAGAAGATGTTACTTGGTACGCTCGAATTATACTAGAAGTCTGTTAGAAAACTTATGCTTCTATGGGCTGGAAACACTACGAAGTGAGACGGTATACCTACCAGGCCATCTCGGCATATTTATCAATATCGCTTTCTCTTACTATAACACAGGTAACGTAATGAGTTCCCGCTATACATAATTATAACAAATCACAAGGGGTATATTGCACTATGATGAATTGTGGTGAAACATTCAGTTGCGTTACTTGATGTTTCGCCCCTTGCCATTAATTCTGAACAAGAATTCGCCAAAATGGCCCACATATATATAGAGAAGTAAACTCGATCGACTGGTTGACTTTCAATAGCAGATTATTTGTGACAGAGTACTTTAATGCCCCTCCATGCTGTGGTACATACCCTTGAGGCTTTGCCGAGGTGAGTATGGTCCGTAATGGCATGTTATTTAGTAATTATGTGTTCAGCAAAAGCCGAAAAACCTTAGCTGATTAAAAAAAGATTAGAGAGGCCCCAAAACAAAAGTTCATGGTTTACAGGACGATGTTATTGGCAGGTATGTTGGGATTTCCCCTGTAAGATCGGCGTTTTCTGACAGCCAAGCAGAGAGATCGCCTTTTTCGTAACGTCTCGCCAGTAACTCCTCGTCAAACTCAATCTATTATAGTATTTATACAAAAATGGTGTACTAATTTGTTCACGGGGCTGAATTATAAATACGGCCTCAACCACATGAGTGGAAATGTCGGTCAACAACAAATCATTCTTTAAGTCGTCCATAGCGCGTCCATCAATTTTACTCGTTCCTGATATAATCACAAGACCCAATATGTTTTTCAACTACCTCTTCGCCGCCACCCTTCTCACATCAGTGACTGCAGTTCCGCAGTTAACCGCAACACCTAATAACTTTACAAAGTTTTTCCAGGATAGCGACTACTCTTGGAATGTGACAGATTGGACCGCAAGATATGAAAACTTTAGAACCAGTGCGACATATTGTAAGGAACCAATCAAGGAAACCGCAACTATCTACAAACTAATATCGATTGCAGCATTCAATATTCAGGGACCCGACTTTGGCCCCAACCCGATAGTTCCTAAATTCAATGCGACTTGTAGTGGGAAGGACGAAGGCGGCAAAATGGCCCCATGCACATTCACAGACAGCGATGCGAAACCCGAAAGAAATGTTTCTGCGAGGTTGATGCCCCAGGATCAATTTGAACCATTTGAGAGGGCTCGGATCGTAGTTAGCTACCAATTCAGAGATACAGCAAATTCATCGTAAGTCCAGTACTTGAATTCGTCTAGGCAGGGAAACTAATAACATGTAGAATTGTCTGGAGAATCACAAATGGGCCTACTGAAGCCCTATTCTTTAAAGCTAATCAAACTTTCACTATTGATAATATTGAAGAAGTTTCTGAGGGGGACAAGTTTATTGGTTAAACTAAATACAAGCATTAAATTTGACACAATTTTCTGGTATTGGAATTGTAAACCAAACGTATTCTAGTTTATGTAGCTTCTTCCTAGCTCCACTGCAATCTTTACAATCAAGTGAATAGCTTCATACAGTAGCTACTACTTTCCCTTCACTGGATGAACAAGATCACGTTTCAAGTTCCTCGATAACTGCTTCAATTGTAAGAGACATGGTCGTTACTCTGTACACACTATACAAAAATCTGTTGCTTCTGCTAATCTTGTAGCAGAAGCAAAATAATTGTCTAAGGATACCTAGGCCAATGAGAAGTAAGAGCTAACAGTTATTCTCAGCTCTTTATACTGTATGACTATTTTAATTGTGCGGCGCTTTTAGAATGATTTTATTCTAAGAGAGGTGTGTACAGAGTAACGACCAGGTATCTTACTAAATAGTTAAGAGATCAAAGACTCGAAGAATTCTAATTTCCCAAACAGTTCGCGTAACTGATTTGCTTCCAAGTATATGAGAGAAAATGGTTGTCAACTCAGTATTTGTAGAATAATAACCCAGTCTTCTACTCTTACAGTGACAACTACCTACCTCATTGAGTATAAAGCTAGTCTACAATGTTACCTCCAAATTCCTACAATCCTTCTTTACACCCTAAGCAAAATTCATCAAAGGAATAGGAACTACAGAACACCAGAGAAAATCTTCTGACAACTAATAATATACAAGTTCTGAAACCCCGTCAGAGTACAACAAACTATCCCCTCTTCCTCTGTTTTATTTGTTTCAATTTCCCTCCCTCACCACTCTTCCTCCCAAAAAAAGAAAAGGAAAAAGGAAATACCCTTACCATCCAGCAGACGGGACAGACAGAGTCACGCCGTTCAGGAAAAACGATTGGCAATTTAGCTCCATAGCCACCTTCTCTCACAAAATCCCATCACTTTCTATCCTCTCATAACCCCCCCCCATTTGCTTACCACAAAACGTTCAATTTCCCCGCCTCCTCGCCTCTCACCTAAAAGAATCTCTCACGCAATCTAGAAAAAGCACACGCACGGAAAAATAAAAGCAGAACTAATAAGGGCGCAGCAACAAAAACTGAGAATAGGGAGTACCCGGGTAAGGGATATGTTATGAAAGGTTGGATGGAAAGTGGGGCGGCGTATTGAGAGCGCAAGAGGCGAAGAGGCACATTGTTATTGGTTGCAAGGGTTGGGTGAAGGAGCGCGTTGGCCAGGCGTTAGAGGCTATTAGATGATAGGACAATTGAAGGTTACAACGACGTGGGAAGGGAATTTGGATTATTGATTATGTGAAGAAGTTTGACTAATGAGTGTGTCGGAGAGTTTGCGGAATTATATCAAGAGGTAACTTTTCTTCAGACGTGTGAGTAAGTTGTTGGCGTTACAATGAGTTCTAACCTACAGTACTATTCTCAGAGGAAGCCATCGCTATACAAGACCCTAAGATCAATCCATCTAAGCCACCATCCAAGAGACAGCCTTTCGCAACATCTACTCAGTACGTTGGTTACTCACGTGACCGGGCACTGGCATATAAGCGTATGTAGTCTAGGACCTTCTCTTCTCCAAGCAATTAGACACCACCAAACAGGAATGATTGCTTCAACCCCCTTTAACTACTGTACGCGTACTGAGTGAAGCGACACGGCCCTTCTGATAACAAGTTGAAGAGAAAAAACGAAAAAGAAAGGGAAAAATACACAAGTCAAATTAGATGATCATGAGACATTAAATTATCTATCAAAATCATGCTTCATGCATCACATCATATCATGTCGATACCCATCTATCACTCATTCGTGTACGAGTATCGCCAATATTACCACCACGCACCTCTATTTCTTAGGAAACTCAGCAACCCACTCCACAATCTGAGCGACCTGTCTATCAACAACAGCCTGCACGCCAGCATTCGCTCTCGCATTAGTCAATCGCAAATCCGAGCAGTGGAAGCCTCCAGGGATAACATTAAGAGGGGCCTTGTCGGTAGCAGCGAGTGCTCCACCAGGGCGTTCCTCAGCGGACATTCCTGAGGTCCTCCATGGGTCGAATTGTCTGTTGGGGTAATGATTAGTTGATGTTTAAAAGGCGAGAGAGGGGAAGAGTCTTACCCATTGGTCCAGATCAGACGCTCAGTCTTCTCCAGTCTCCATCCTTGGGTGAACTTGTTGACCTTGTGGGCGTTGACATCTGGGTCAACGGAGCCATATGTGAAGCCATTGGTTTCGGGGAACATGAGAGGGCATTGTCCTTGCCAGTACTCAGCAGTGACAAGGCGAGACACGATAGTTGGCTTGCCTCTCGGTGCACCATCTTGCCAGTATCCGAATGGCTCGTTGCAGAGCATCCAGTTCCATTGGAGATTCCAGATGTTGTCTACTGCTCTGTTTGTGTACTGTAAGTTGGTGGCGTTGTAGGTGTCCATACACTCGATGTTATATTCTCCTTCGAAGCCGTAGTTTTCACAGTCTACAAAGTGGTATTAGCAAATGTTTGATGGTGCCGAGAAGACAAAACTTACAGCCTGGAATCAAAACTTCGTTGCTCCACTTGGCGTATCCTTCTAGAGCAGCTTCCAGCCCAACTCCGTTCGCATCAGGGGTGCCGGCTGCACCAGCTACGACGTTCTCCAAAGACAAGTCAGTACTACTCAACGGGACTATTAAGAATAGCCAAACTAACCTCAACTGCATCACAGAATTTGAAAAATCCAGAGTACCCAGTGGTGAAACTGTTGGATTGCCATAACCAAGGACCGTTCACAAGGGCGCTATTCACATTAGCACAAACTCGAGAAATCGGAAAGGAGTCAACATACGCAGTGACATCAGCCGCTAGAGTCAGATCCTGAAGACCGAACTTTGTCTTCAGTGCCAATTGCTCTTCTGGAGTTCCCTTGGTAAAGACTTCGTCCATGTACTCGACAACAAGTCCAACATCCTTGCTGCAGTTCTTTGGCATGCCTTCTTGGATGGGAGTGAAGTATTGCCACTGATAAACCAAAATCAGCAATGCCTTTCAATTTCTATTTGAATTCAACTCACGTAATCGTAGATAGCCTCAACAGGAGCAGAACTCGCGTGGTAGGCCCAGAACGTTCCTGGGTGTACAGAATAGATCCAAGCTGCCAATGCACCTGAGTAACTTCCTCCAGAGAACACCCATGGTGCCTTATCAGCATTGGTAGCACCACTGAGGTCGAATGGAAGAGTGGCCGTTTTTGCGAAGTGGACGAAATCATTCATGGCTTGGTCGAGGGTTAGGGTTTGTAGAGTCTCGGCAGTGAGGGTAGCGTATGGGCTGGATTCTCCCCAGAAACGATCTGTAACATTCGTCAGTAAAGACAATTAAGAAATAACAAAAGGCAGCTTACGCTCAACCATAATCACAGCCCCCTTGATTTCTTGTGCATAGAGACCCTATAATGGAAATATTAATTGATATTCACTCCATTTGTTTACATGTAGTTTTGACCTACAGTGATGGTTGCATTCGTCAAATAGCCAGTATAACCCGCAGCAGCAATCTCACCCGGTGTGAAAAATACGATCTGAAATTAAGTTAGCAAAACTCCTACACAAATAGTCAATTGACTTACAGGCGATCCTGGACCAGCCCAAAACTCGGTGTTCCACCAAAACTTTTGCTTGAAAGTTCCCTTGCTCAGATCGTTGTGGTCAACGATCTGATCAAAGAATGCAGATCCCGTGATGTTAGACGCTGCAACTTTCCGCATAATGCTGGCATCCATAGGTTCCTCAGGAGGAATCAGTCTCCCAACATTAAGGAATTGGGTATTTGGAGTTGCTGCGACGAAAGAACCAAGAGTCGCCAAGGCGGCAACAAGTGAGTACTTCATGATGGCAGAGGGTGGGCAGAAGACAATTGGCACTTGACTTGTTCAAAAGAGAGCAGCACAACTTCTCAAGAGAAACGAAGCGTGTGGGGAAGAAGGAAAGGAGAGAGAGCGAGGGGGAAACAAGCTTATCAAGTCTTTGAATATCTTCCGAAGACCCATGCTTGACATCAAGGTGAATTTTACAGAGACCTGGATAGAGGGGACCCCGACGCCACTGCAGCTGCAGCGTCCACCTACCTTCCATGGTACGATTCCATACAATCCTAGGCCGGGCCTTGCAAACTGGGGAGAGATACGCTGATCTGCGACATGGGCAAACTGATAACAAGCACCCGGTTGTGGAGCGATTGGATGGCGGAGTCGACTTGAGCGATGGCTCTATTGGCATTATTGGACTGGTGCTTTGAGCCAGAAGAACAAGCCAAACACCATTGGTTGGTACCTGTCGGCCTGCATGGATGCATTCCGTCTACTGTTGTGATCCCCATGTTTGGCACTTTCGAGTTACCGAGAACAACCAACCAGAGAAATCTATATCGGAGCCACGCTGCACCAGTGGTCACCTGCAGTTTGTCCGCTGTTTTGCACATCCCACGGGAAGTCTAGCATCGGCACCAACCTTGAGCTAATTCGTAGAACAAGTGGCGAGAAGCAAGAGTGGAAAGTAGCCGCAGTGTTGGAACTCGAGTCAATATAAAAAAACGGCTGCTCAATGTGAAAGAGGAAGGTGGTTGAAATAAGCGGTGGAGCTATGGCCCGCAATACGACTTTACTGGTCGATGGGTCGTGCCGAGGAAGCTTCTTTACCGAACCTTAGAAGCTTCCTTTATCGTGCTAGCTCCACTGTTCCCAATCCCGCATAAACATTGCATCTCACGAGAATATCATTTCTCATACGCGGGAGTAAAAAGCTCGTTGAAAAACTTTCACAAACATCCTTCGAGATCCGTTGATCATCGGAGTGTCTGCTACCGCTTCAGGCAGACGAAATTCGTCATGTTCAGTCATTTATCCTGTACTTGGCAATCCTACTCCGATATATGCAGTGCTTGTGAAGCGACTCGCGGGGTCGTACCGGGGTCTGGATCGCCAAGTACATGATTTGGTTAGTACCGAGGCAAGAATTTTGTATATAGAAGTAAGCTTTTGACAGCTATTCTTGTTCGAATATTGAAGGCCAAGGTATTACCGTCTCCCAGGGTTTGTAATAAAGAGGTGGATAACTTGGATCGCCTCCATTTTTCGCCCTTGTCAATTTCTGATATACTTCTACATAGATCGGATAATCCGATCGAATAAGAAGGCTATATTGTAGGGTTATACCCTTCCTTTAATACGTTTGCAAACGCGGGAGGGAAGGGGGAGACGCAAGCTGTCAAACCCTTGACTTTGGAAAGATAACCCACGTCTCGTCTGTTAATAATGTCTCCCCGCAAAATCAACAGCTGTGTCTCTTTCTGAATCACAATCCTTCTAGTACTTCGAAACAACCAAATCGCTAAACAGAAGCCCGAGGATGATCAAAAGTAATTGTCCACGTAGATTGAGGTTGATCGCTTAAAGCAACACAAAAATAAGGGACATCGATTGCCGGCCCAGCATTTATTGCCGCCTCTTCTGTCTTACAGGAGCCCGCTTTGTATGAGTTGCAAGAGAGGAATACGGTAGGGTATCAAGATACAGCATACTCTAACGGTATGGCTGTGATATCAAGCACTTTGGAGTACCAGAATAGCTCTTGCTGCCCAGATGTTGTAGCTTGATGGATTGGCTGGTGTTGAAGACATCCATACGTGCCTTTGACTCCTTCATGGATGTAGAAACATTAATCAAAATTACTCAAATTCTCAATGCGTGCATAGCAACGCGGAGAAACCCCTCGTCCATTGCATACTGCCCATTATAACAACCATAAAACAGAGCGCCACAACGACGCTCACAAACCCGTATCGATACGCATGTCTTCTCCTCAACGTAATCAGCTCACTGACCCAAGTACTAACTGTCGTCAAACATCCGCAGAACCCATCTTCTATTCCTTGCAAGACCTGGCATCCAACAACACCACCAAGAGGCACATGCTGAAGGTCATAGGCCATTCCCAGAATCATTGTTCCCAGCATGTTGACAACGAAAGTTCCCAAGGGGAATGAAGGGATCTTGCCGTTGAGGTAAATGGAGGCGTAGAAACGAGCCAAGCAACCGAGAGGAGCGAATACTAGAGAGGACACTGCTCGCCCACGCCATGTTTCTGGAGAACCGCTGTTTCGGTCTGGTGGAAATATTGATAGCAGGATGGCGCCGAGCCAGCATCCCCAAGCAAGTACTACGACTACTGGATCGAGTATCTTGCGGCCAAATTTGAATGACAAAGACGGAGTCAGAGGCTCGATTAATATGGCAATATGAGCACCAACGTACAAAGCAGAAATGCAGAGTGAAAGCGTGATAATAATGATAGCGAGTACCGCCATAAAAGAATACCCTCCATTCCGTGGAACGGTAGAGGTGGTTGAACTGAAAGTCGTGTAATCTGCGGGATGATTGAGCGGTGTTGGCAACTCATTAGACAACGCCAAAAACCCATCTCGAATGAAAGATGAAAAAGACGTAAAGCAACCGCAAAATCCAGTTGCCAAGCCAATGTACAATGGAATGGTCTTCTTCGTGGCGGCGTGGGCCTTCTTTGCAGCTTGTAAGTCGATGAGTTTCTCTGCTTCAGAACTATTCTCCTTGTCTTCTGCTTTTCTCTTCGCCTCTTGCAGTTTTTGGTGATATATGGGGTTTCCCCATTCTTGTTTGAAGAGCATTCTGTCCTCGATCAGAAAACCCATGAATAAACTTCCGCCAAAGTTCGCCCAAAGCTGGCTGAATACTAATGGTGCACCGGGATAAAAAGTAATTGCTTGTAATCCCAGTCGAGCAAGAGTCCCGAGAAAGGAGAAGAAAATCAAATATGACACCGTATATAGTTGAGTTGCTGTTTTCGAGACCTTTGTTGGTTGTTTCTCTTCGGATTGCTCAGCTCCTGTGTTCGATGCTTTGTTTGCTCTATCTTGTTCTTCTCGGTATTTCTGTTCTTCATTTCTTGCATCTTCAAGCGATTTGTGTTGGTATATTGCACTGTCCTCTGGATTCTCTACTGGTGGAGGCGTTGCCAACTCGTCAAGATTGACATAGTCGTCGGGGACGGTATAGCTCCCATCTTGTGCGCTGTGTCCACGGGATATTCTCTTTGCCTTGCTTCTAGAACCCGCCAGGGCAATTACATGATCGCCCTGGCTGTCCTTAGGAGGTTGAATAGGCGAAGACCCTGCTATGTCACTGGAGTTTGTTGTCATCTCAAATGTTGTTTGGAACTTCGAAGAGTAGGCAATACGTCATCGTCAAGGGCTTCTGAGGTTACCGTTGGGCGATAATGACCCCATGGATATCAGCTGGAGATTAGATGAAACATATGAACTTGTCAGAAGGCGATAGTTGATACCATTTCACCATCCCATCCCTTTGAAGAAATACATCTTGACAGCAGCCCGGAGCCGCCCACCTCACTGGCCCACTCCCGTCGGACTTTAAAGAGTCAGGACCCTCATTACCCCTGCGTCTGCCGATAAGCGACTCGGAGGCTTGACTACAAAGGGAGCTTCGTCCCTTATCTCCAAACTACCCCTCCATCGTACATCATACATCAGCTTCCAAAATACTGGTACTTGTTGCTCGTAATTCTACATCACAATGGCTTCACCACTACCACCAAACGTCCATCGATCGACACATCCATGTCTCCAAGCCAAACTCTCCCAGCTTCGATCCGCGACCTCAAATGCCCGGGAAACGAAAGCATTGGTACATGAGATAGCATTGATCGTAGGATGTGAAGCATTAGCAGCAGGCCTTTCTACGAAATCAGGTTCCAAGGTGAGCAAGAAACTGAGCTCATCTTACTCCTCTTCTCTGATTGTTTACTGACGCATTCCAATAGAGCAAAACACCATTAGGATACGAATTCACAACCACCGAAATCTCCCCCTCCACAATCTCCCTCGTTCCCATTCTCCGCTCCGGATTAGGGATGTTAGACGGTAAGCTACCCATTCCCCTCCCCTCCCTTTCAAAAAAAAAAGCCCATAAACTAACAAATTCGATCTGCCAACAGCAATACAAACCCTCCTCCCCCTCCCCGTCCCAGTCCACCACCTCGGTCTCTTCCGCGAACCCACCACCCTCGAGCCAGTAGAATACTACAACAACCTCCCCTACCACGCCCCCGCAGCAGGCACCCCCTCCAACGCGCCCAACGCCAACGCCTCGGAGCTCGCCATCCTGCTCGACCCCGTCATCGCAACCNCGAGCCAGTAGAATACTACAACAACCTCCCCTACCACGCCCCCGCAGCAGGCACCCCCTCCAACGCGCCCAACGCCAACGCCTCGGAGCTCGCCATCCTGCTCGACCCCGTCATCGCAACCGGTGGAACAGCCGCGGCCGCCATCCAGACACTGAAGGAATGGGGTGTGAAGCGTGTCATTGTCATCTCGATCCTCGGCGCCTTACCCGGTCTGGAGAAGGCGGCGGGAGAGTGGCCCGAAGGCGTGGAGATCTGGACGGCGGGGGTGGATGAGAGTATCAATGAGAAGGGCATGATAAAACCCGGTCTGGGGGATGTGGGTGATAGGTTGTTTTTGACGATTGGGAAGTAGGGAGGTAGGTAGATGTTTGAGTTAATGAGAAACGTTGTTTTTGCATTTTGAACTTTAGATTATCTAATAGAGTATGGGTAGCTTAGATATCCAGGTGGGCTTAAACTACCTATAGAAACCCAGATCACTCCAATTATGCATGCAATGAAGGTTGGATAGCTAGCTGGTTCACGGTTGTATCTAAGATTAACATTTCACCCTGCCTGTATCTAATATTCTTCTCGATTCCAATACCACTAACATTCCACACCACTACGTATAGGGCCGCAATGGTCCGATTTTAGTATCCTGGACGCTCTATGGATGGAAGGTGGATTATTTTTCTTCTATTCTATTACATATGAATCACTTGATTTCCTGCCGAGAGATGGGGAGGCAAGGCGTTGATAATAGTACAGTTGAATAACAGGGAAAAGTTAAAGATTCACAGGATTCGCTTGCACGAGTACTACAGTAGACATATGACATGATGCCTCAAGCCAAGGTCCCAAAAGCTAGCTTACTCTATAGACACAAGATATAGAACAGAGTTGAAGTATTGCATTTCTCATTCATTAGGAATCATTAAAAAAGGTAGAAGAAGAATAAGAATGATAAGTTCGCCGTAAGCAGTCAGTCAAGTTCCCAGGGTATTCCCCCCTACCATAGCTCCCGTTCCAAGTATCCCAACAGAAAGAACAAACCCCCAAGGATGCAATTGAAAATACCAGAATTCCGAACTCCCAAAGCCCAAGTTTTCAGTTTCCGAAAGCCCAGAACGCTAAACCCTATGGTGCCGTATGCAAAACAACCAGAAGAAAAGAAAAGTAGGTAAAAAGAAAAAAGTCTTCAGTCCATCAACCATCTCTCATAAGTTACCGTGGTTGTCTTCCAAACGCCTAATACCCAGGAGGATTTTCAGGTATACCCTGATGTCCAGTCGTTATCATCCAAAGGCACAAATATCCAGGCCACGAAGAGCCAAAACTTCCAGACAAGGTCGTAGTATCGCCCGAGTAATAGGATGAAGCCTATGTAACAGAGAGCGGATAATACCAAATAGGGCGTTGGCTCGATGAGGAAATCTCGCCATAGCTCGGAGAGAAAGAGTTCGAAATCTGAGGGAGTGACTGAAAGAATCGAAATTTTCGTTAATGTTTCTCGTGGTTGCGATGTGACTGGAACCAGATGATGTTGGATCCGCAGTCGTTTATAGCAATTTGCCTGTTCTGCCGAACTCGTTCTGTTATACCTGCGAGGCTCTTTCGTAAACTTTCGATACCGAACTCGAATCCCAAGCTTGATGCATTTTCGGATTCCCTTCCTCATCAAATCCCTTCCTTTCTTGCAATCTTGCGCATTCCTCTCCTTTTCAATCGAAACGTTCTCATCTGCCCGGCGCCAATAACCCCCTAACCCTTTCAATCCTCGCCACGGCCCCTTCCAACTTCTCCAACCTCCTCCTCTTTTCCCCATCCCTACTTTCCAGAACCGCAACCCGCTCCTCCAACTTCGCCCTCGCCTTCCTCTCCGTCGCCACCATCTCATTAGCCTGCTGGAATAGCTGCGCCGTTAGGTCTTCCAGTTCCCCACTCGCTTCGTCCAACTTCTTCTCCGACGCAGCTCTCAGTTCCTGTTCCTTCGTCAAGGCGGCCGCGAGCTGGGCTTCGGTAGCCGAAGGCGAAGGAGGAGGAGCTTGTAAATTCGGCGTTGATTTCTTAGGTGTCAGGAATGAGGAAAGTCGGTTTTGTACGGGGAGGTAGGAGAATCGCGAGGGACTTGTGTCGCGCTTCTCAAGGGATTCGCGAGCTTCTTTTTCTTGATTCAGTTGGGCGCGTAGTTGCCGGATTTCATCCTCGTAGTCGGCCCATTTGTCCACTTTGCTTCTGATTAGTATCTGCTCTCGGGGGTCTTGCGCAAAGGTGTACGAACCTGCTGCGGTTGCTTTGTCGTTTAGTAGGCGGACTTGGGCTTGTAGATCCTCGATTTGTCGCTGGGCTTCGGCGGCCATGAAGGAATGAGATGGGAGCCCGACACCGCAGTTGGGACAGCATGATCCGGAGCCACCTGCTGGTGCTAATGTTAAGGTCATGGTGGTGGTCGACATTTGTGCTGAGTGAACCCCCTTTGATCATGCGACAGCGATTTGGAGGGGAGATGGTCCCGGTGACGAGGCGGGCGTGTGAATGTACCTTTCAAATCCTGGCTATCGATAAGTGATTCCAGAAGGTGTATGGTCCGAATCCTCCTCGGCTGGTAAATGCTAGAGCTGCAGAAATTAAGTGGTGTTGTCGTACAGAATTAAGTGCAATAGCTAGACTATGTCATAATAACGAATGCGGGTGTGGGTGGTGATGGCAGTTTAATACGGGGTAAAGCTCCATGTGCTCGTGCTCCGCCTCCGTCTCATCTATTTGCCTTCCAGCCCAGCGCAGCCCAGCGCAGCCCAGCGTGCCCTGCATACCTTGCCCTGCATGCGCCACGCCGGTAGCCGTGCTTTTTAGATATCCTAACATTCCAGATATAGCTCATCTAACCAGAGTTTCAGGCATACTCCCTGCAATATTGGGATGCCATCACCATAACCATCCGAAAATACTAGTCTTCGTCAAATCATTTAATAATAATCTCGGCGCCAGATTCAGAACTTTTTTTTTTTCTCTAAGAAAAACCAATAAATTAATAATCAATAATCAATAATCAATAACTCTATAGCAACTTAAAAGAGCCCATGTAGAAAATTCGGCTATGGAACGATCATAGGAGCGACGCGTAAATTTACGGGTACATCTCAGGCTGGAACCGGAAACTGGCAGGAATAGAGTTCATTAAGATCGCGATGTCAGCCGGATCTTGCCTCCCCGAGACTTGTCCGCGAAATGATGGAGGGGGAGGGGCAATATCCATGGATGCAGCATTGCAGAACATACTCTATACTCGTACTGTACGAACTACATCGTGATAACCCTATCCCGAACACCAAAACGTTCATCTTGCCAGCATTCATCGTGACAGGATCAGTGCGATACCAGTTCGTCCTTCTTTGTTCCTCGGCAATTAGGTTTCGTATTTACGGTCCACCACGTGGACCGCGTGTGGTCCCTGTCGGTGTCTGAGAATATTTAACGTTGGAACATGGTGTTGCAATCGGTTATCGTACCCTCTGACAATCACGAGGTAGGATGACGATGTTATTTTTCGACATCCGATTGAGGGTTTTTTCGGCCTTCGCATCTCGGAATTTTATGACTCGGTTCGATTTCCGTGTTCAAAAAAGAACAGGAAATGCCATCAGGCTTCGGAGGATGATTTAGCAATCGGATAATGAAAGAATTACTTGTCTGAAGTATTTGGAATAATCGAAAGTTGAAAAAAGCCTTTCAGATCTATTTCCCTGAGATTTAGCGAAGTAGATTAGAACTAGGGGGCCCTGAGAAACTTGGTTACTGTGGCTTTTCTGTCCACTGTGAGCCCCCCTTTGTTTACTCGAGTGACAGGATTCTGTGATGTCGAAAGCAAAATACTGATAAGAGAGGCGGGCATTACTCTGGACACCCCTGGGCCCTGAGTTATACATAATATTATCCTAAAGACTTCACACAACTAAATCAATTACACGAATAGTTTAGAAGGATTAATACTTTTTATTCCTTATTGCCTAGGTGAAATGGGACAATCAATTAAGTCGTGCCAGACTTTTGGCTTAATAACTTTTGATAGCGTGTACAGAGCAGTGACCATGTTTCTTACAAGTTCGACTTCATCCAAACAGCAGTCGATGTGCTCGCTCAAGATTAGATTGTATTCACATGGGACAGACAAGAACACCAGTTGGTTTTAAAAGAATAAAAATGCATTTTGTTTACAATAAACCATCCCAATTACCAAAAGCGCCCAACGCTGTATATCCTACACCAAACACAAAAAACAAAACACCACACCCCACCCATCCACCTCCAAACAGCCCAAGCCCCCAATACACGACAAAACCCCCTACCGACTCATAAAAGTCCACATCTCCCCACCCCTCTCCAAAACCCTCCCCAGCCCCAAAACCCTCTCATTCGCCCCCNCACCTCCAAACAGCCCAAGCCCCCAATACACGACAAAACCCCCTACCGACTCATAAAAGTCCACATCTCCCCACCCCTCTCCAAAACCCTCCCCAGCCCCAAAACCCTCTCATTCGCCCCCTCATTCCCCTCAAAAACCAAGAACATCCCCCTCCTCTCCCTCTGCAACTTCCTCGCTTCGTCCATCTCCGCCTCACTCATAGCCCTCATCTGCACATCCCCATTGTCCTTCCTCTCAAGGAAGAATAACACCTCTCCTTCCGTGCCGACTTTATCGCCTCTCGCTTGGCCGACGAGATATTGCTGGTGGTGGTTGGTAGGGAGAGGTTTATTGGGTGTATTTTCGTAGTCGTCTTCGTCGTCGGAGGGGTCTTTGAGTTGGGTTCGAATCGTGGCTTGCGTGTTGGGTTGGGGTGCTTTATGGGTGCTTTTTCGAAGGAATGACCAGAAGCCCGAGGACGCTGTAAATGTATGTGATGCTGGCGGTGGAGGAGGTGTATCCACAAGAAGAACTTGCTCATCCTTTGGAACCCACGAATACCCATCATCCAGCAACTTCCAACGTCGCAACACCATTCTCTGACAGTAGTCCTCGCAGGTGCAGTTGTAGGCTGCACACGTGTTGCGGTAGAGTGTTCGTTGATCGAGTTCGGACTTGATGAACCATCGGTTGTGGATGGCGCTGGAGGTTATCTCGAAGGGCTTTTCGAGGAAGGTGTAGTGGGGGAGTTTGACGGCTGGGTAGTAGGAACTGCCGTTGTTGTTGGTGGTGGGGTTTGCATGGTTCTTTTTGAAAATATTGGTAAGTGACTTTTTTGGCTGGTTTAGGGAAAGACCGAATCGACGTCGTTTTTTGGATGCCGTTAGGTTGTGAGCATAGGATGAGGTAGCTGAGGTGTTGGGCCTGACAAAGTCTTCATCCATACTGATAGTTGAGGTGGAATCATTCTCTTGTTGCGCTGTTTGTTGCATTTGCGAAAGCGGAACTCTATCATAGTGCCATTTGGAGTCGAGCGTGAGCTTATCTTCACCGAGTTGGAATGAGAACCCAGAGATAGATTCCGTGTCGGAGCCATCTTCAGAGTCGGAATCATCCCGGCGGGTGTATTTCATGGGTGGGCACTCATCGATGTTGGAGCTGCAAAAGGAATAGTTGTCGCCTCGTTTGTTTTGCTGGCTGGATGCGGAGGGCATGAATGAGGAGGAAGCGAGAGATGAGTAGCGTTCTTGTGCTGTTCCTGTCATCAGCACTTGTCTATTACAGATCTGGAAAGGCTTCTTACCAAAGTCCACTGATGGAGGAGGTAGCGGCTCGTTGATATCGATATTTGTTTGCCAGTTGGTGACTTCTTTGTCGTTGTTGTCGTTGTTGTCGTTGTTGTCGTTGTTGTCGTTGTTGTCGTTGTTGTCGTTGTTGTCGTTGTTGTCGTTGTATACAAAAACAGCATACGAATGGTTGATGCGGTAGTCCAAGGTGTTCCTCATTATGTTATTTAAGTTGTTATTGACGAAATCTGGATCAGATGGCAAGTCTCCATGTCCGTTTTTCTTGAACAGTCTCCCAGTATCCCCTCCTCCGTTGGTCTTGAGGGCGACTAAGTAACGCCTTTTTTCCTGGTCAATTGAGTATAGGCCGGGAACTGGTTCTTGAGCAAGGTAAAGCGATTTGGTGATGTCGTTGGCCTTGTTGATACCTTTGCTGCTGTGTCCGCAACCAACCAAGGAGAGGAACGCCTTTTTGGGGCAGTCGAAAATTGCTGGAGACATCTTGAAAGAGATTGATGGTTTAGAAATGGTTATGGGTAATGAAGAATGTAATCCGAGTGTAGAAGAATGATAGATGAAGTAAAATTGACGAAGCTGTTAGGACGCTGTATGAAGAATATTCTTGATCTTGGATGAATGCAAAGCGTGTGCTTTGGGGGAGGGCGAATGGAATATATATCCGTTAGCTGGAAACTATAGCTCTGGTCTAAGGGTTGTTCGTCTCTTCTTTCGATGATGAAGTATCTTCATCATCTCGCCGCAGAATTCTGATTCCATTAATATTATGAGAGAGAAAACAGAAGCTTAGCGAGCGGACTAAACTACAGTGTTCAACTACCACAAGAACCATCGGAACTAATCATTATCAGTGCGGAGTAAGAGAATTACATTAGAGGAGATATTTATGCTATGATTGAGAGAATACATCGACAATGAATATGGCTTTATGAAATAGGCATTCTGGACGAGTATGTATGGGACAAGAAACTATAGCGATTGTTGGAGAGTGCTTTTCCAGATACCAGCAGGCATCGAGCCTCCAATCGAGCTAATTTTCGGTCAGACACTAACATAGATTCGACAACCGCGGGCGGACAAAATAATCTTCATAAAGCTCATAATTATGTCGCAAGAATAACGAACCGATCAATAGGGGTTTGAGGAAACTAGCGAGAGCGTTGACTTTACGTCAGCAAAGATTGAACATCATTTTCTCGACCAGTAAAAGAACAACTGTGATGATCTTCAGCTCACAGTTAGTAATGCACAGTGTAACTCCCTCAATTGAGGGAATGAAGAAGCACCCCCCAATCAACGTAAATCCGGTGTGCTGAAGTATGATGTTCATCTGGCTAAAATAGCAAACCGTTGTGGCAGCCTGCCGACCCTGATCTGACGTAACTTCGAGCTAAACACAGGACTGGTCACCACACTAGCTGGAACCGATTCCTGACGACGCAACGGCTTTCAAAAGCAAGTTAGGCGATGGTGGAGGTTCGCTCATGCAATTCAAGCAGAAGGAGGGTCAGATGCGGAACTAGGAGGGTACTTTGTAGTAGATTAAGTAAATTCCACACGTCCTTCGGGACTAGGTAGCGCAGTGGTCAAGAATAGACACTCTACCTACAATCTATCATCTCAAGCGAAACTCATCTCAACAGACCGGTTTCGAGATGATAAGTTCATCCCTAAAGGACGAAACAGAAAATATTGTAGGCGCCAATTTGCGTCACGAAAACGTCACTTCTGACATATAAAAAGAAAACACTACTGTAACGAGTCGAAAAGTCCGCCATCTAAAAACAAGCCTACACCCTTGAGATCCACTTCCTGGAAATAATTATCTAGAAAACCGGGTTCAGTTGTGCTTCTCAAGCAATGGATCACTTGATCCTTTATACGCTCCAGAAAATTCGCAGATTATGATGAAATAGTGCTCTGGCAATGATGGCTGCACCAAGTGCCAGTTTCACGGCTTAAGTCATAATGTAAAGGCTAGAAAAGAAGCTTAAAACACAAGTTATCGCTCCAAATGTACACTTGGACAGAGTAATTTTTCAGAATCCTCAGGTGCTGGCTACTGGCCATACCGCTCATTCTGAGCTCAACACCATGCCGCGTAAACAAGAACCGAGTAAGGAGTAGTAATATTTTTATTTTCTCTTCCTACTTCATGCATCTGACGAGAGCACTTCAGTGTGAGCTTGAAAGTCCTCCAGATGCCTGTTTGTGAATGAAATTTCGGGAAGGAAATGTGCAAAGCAATCGTTTGGCGCTGCTGGGCAAACCACCTCGAAAAGTCCCGACCCAACGCCTCATCTTCACCGATCTCGAAACCCGATTGTCGTGCTACCATATTCACATCATCGTAGAGGCCCAAGGGGTATTCTTTTTGAGATATTCATTGTCCGTAGAGCATGTTACATTTATTGCACTACCCGCGCTGCTGATATCAAGCGATCCCACGCCCCATGCAAAGTGCCCAAATGAAAATAGCCCATCCCTTAAACCTCAGTCGTAACTCTGGCCTTGGGGTTCGTAACCTTAACACCGAGTTCCTTAGCGCGCTCAATGATTGTGATTCTCTTTCTCGACGAAACGGCGTGGTTGATCCTAGATGTTTGTAAGTATGTGTCTCGATTCGGTCAATTGGATTGGCCTACTCTGCGGCGAAGGTCTTGTTGTGCATAAGGAGGAGCTCGACATCACGGACGTTGCTGACGAGGAAGGCCTTGTGGCCGGATGGCATCATGTGTCTTGTCTTCTTGTTGGATCCGAAACCGATCTATATTTCATCCGTCAGTTGTGGCCCTAGAGAGATCTTCGAGGTGCTGATTGAAGGCGCGAGACGTGCGCAACGTAATTGAATCCTTCTCGTGCCCTCTCAACAACAATGTCTCCGAGATGAACGTACCGATGGCATAACCATTTGACCCTTGAATCGTCGTCGGACACGGTTATCAATACCCTTTGGCTTTCTCCATGATGCATCAAGGCATTTGTAGGTATCGCTCTGATGTCTGTGGAAACGCTTCGTGCCTAGAGTATAGGACGTCAATACGGCTGGTCTTCAGTGCATTAAACTCTTCGTGGAGGCCTTCAGCGCCTCGTTGTAGGCAAATTCAACCTCCTGATTCCGAATTTCCGCGAGGATGTAGAACGTACGCTTCTTAACAATCTTAACGTGACGAGCTGCCGATGCTGCCATTTTGTCGAGTTCTGGTGGTTGTCGAAAATTTGGTCGTGAAAGTTCGAGATTGCAATTCGTAAAACTGCCTTGTGTGGTGGAGGTCGGCAGTCTGGCCAATAAGAGCTTAGCAAGCGGGGACTCGCTTACATAATAGAAAGTCACGCGACCCTGGACTTCTACCAAGCCTCGCAAGCCCAGATAGGTACCTACTCCACCTGCAATGATCATTCCAGACTTTTGGAGTAATTGAAAGGGTCATCCTAGATATTTTAGAACAATGAATCCAGTCATGCTACAAGTTTGGAGAAATTACCCAAATCCAAATTGTTCCAAAGGGTAGAAAATAACAAGCGATATATTACAACTCACTCTTATTCAAGCAAATGGATGAGGGGCGGAGAAATAGAGATGTATTTTCTCTCTAAGTTCGTAAATACATGTCGTGACTCTATTATCATTCGTGTCCTGTTCATTGTGGACTTTTGCAATGCTGGCTTTCTACAGGTGCAGCAATGCAGAACGAACCAGCCATCCAATCCTAGGTACTGTCACTATCCATGAGCTGCTGCTTTACAGTACCCAACTGCATACTAGCGAAACCATAAAATGAAACGATATATGAACGCCTCACGAAGTCTAGCTGTCTATTGCTGAGCACACTGAGGTTGCCCATCGCCCTCATCCTCATCCTCCCATTGTCCGCCGCCCCGAGGATCCCCTGAATTCGCTCCGAACTAGTAATGTTAGGCTTATCTAAAACAAGGATGATTTTGCACTTACATCTTCAATATCAGCATCAGAATCATATTCGCATTCGTCGACCTCAGTCGCCTCAATCTTAGGTTCCGGTGGTGGCAGGACCTTTTGTAGACTTGCGAAAGCAGCTGGATCTTCAGTCCACCCGTTCTCCGGAAATTCAACTTTGACAACGAGATACAAATCGCCTTTTGAGTCGGATCGTTTCAGAGGCATACCTTCTCCCTCAATCTTTAAAATCTGACCAGGTCTCATTACTCTGCCTTGGGGGTGATCAAGGTGGATACCACGACCGTCAAGATGTGTGAGGACAACTCTCGAAAATCCCGTGAGGGCTTCCGAAAGAGTAATATCGAGCTCTGCTGAGAGATCGTCGCCAGCTCTTTGAAAGACATCATGGTCCTCTTCCGCAAGCGTGAAGACGATGTCGCCGGGTATTTGATCAGGCACTTGGTCTGCCTCTCCCTCTAAGGTGATCCGTTCTCCTTCCTGAGCGCCTCGTGGGATATAAAGCTCCAAGGCCTTCTTTTCCGATGTTGTTCGCTTTCCCTTACACTTCTTGCACCTATCCTTCTCCTTGAAAATCTTTCCAGTTCCTGAACAAGGATCACAGATCATGCGTTCCTGGGTAACGAGTCCTGGACCAACCTGGCGAAGGCCCACCGTGACACCATTACCCTTACATCTATCACAGGTTGATGGCTTTGCCTTCTCTTTTCCACCAGTGCCTTTACAATGACTGCAGATAATGTTCTTGGTGCTGGCGAATTTGACGGTCTTCCCCTTGTAGAGTTCTTCGAGCGTAACGCTATACTTTTGTTCTTCGTCGCGTCCTTTGCGTGGGCGTTTTGGTCCACCTGGCATTCCACCTTCTCCAAAATTCATACCTCCACCCATACCAAACATTTGCGCCAAGATGTCATCCAAATCTGGCCCGCCACCCATCCCACCTGCTCTGCTTGGATCGAAGGCTGCCATGCCATGGGCATCGTACATCTCGCGTTTTTCCTCATCGAAAAGGATTTCGTAGGCCTGACTGACAGCTTTGAATTTCAATTCGGATTCCTCTCTCTTATCTTCCGAGACCTTATCTGGGTGGTGTTGTAAAGCAGCCTGAAAATGTTGGTCAGCGAAGAGGCTCCGAGATTATGATGTAAACATACCTTGTGGTAGGCCTTCTTGACTTCTGATTTGGTGGCGTCTCTCGATATACCAAGGGTTTCTGTTCCAAAGTTAGAAATAGGGTCTTTGACTTTTCCATGTGGACCTCACCATAGAGGTCAACCTCCTCGGCTCCGCTGGAAGCCATGATGGAGGGGTCGTTGGTAAACTTTCGATGGGGGTTTCAGATGGTTCCCTTGGGCGCAAGTTCGTGGTTGTGGTCACAGTCGCAGATGGCGGGAAACGCGCAGACACGCAGCGACGGAATGACGGGGAAAATATGGATCGTCTGGTCTTGTGAAGGCGTGGAGGTGCCGTTTGGACGACAAGCAGGTATATTTTATTTTAGCGTTGAAGAACGCACGGGCCACCATCCCGCCGTAGGAGCACCAGCGAGTACTCAGTGCAGGTACTTGCAGGCGAGAGCGAGCAGCGCAGCCCTCAAATTCAGTATCTTGGCGCAAGCTCGGCTCTCCGTAGGCTGGCAGGTAGGTGGGCAACGAATTGGAAGCGCACGGCACTTGATTGTTAGGAGACATCTAGAAACTTCTTGAGAGCGAGATCAATGGATTTTCGATGATGCTGCTCCGTTCGTTTTCTGCACGAAAGGCTCCGGTGTCTCAATGGATTTGCAAGTCATGTCGTAGCAGACGCTATGCTTCGTCTGGCTCCAATGCAGTCAACCCCCTTCCCCTTCCACAAGCCTCCAAAGAACTTCGCAAGGGAGGACCAGCCAGAACACGTTTCGCCCCATCGCCCACCGGAAAACTTCATCTTGGGTCAATAAGAACTGCCTTGTTCAACTACTTGATCGCGAGAGCGACCGGTGGCCAATTTGTGCTGCGAATAGAAGATACAGATCAGGTGATCAGTCTACCAAATCCCATTCTATTGTTGTTGACTAAAGTTGGGATAGAAACGTACAATCAGTGGTGCCGAAGATACGTTGCTCCGGGACTTGGAGTGGGCTGGAATTGAATGGGACGAAGGTAAAACCACCTCAACTGCCGCTGTTCTCTCAACTAACCATGCATAGGACCTGGACGAGGAGGTCCTTTCGGACCATATCGACAGGCAAGTTCCAGCTCACGGAAATCTGGACATTTTTTGACCAAGTATTAGTCAGAGCGAACGGCAATCTACAAAGAACACACGGAGCAACTTCTTCGTAAAGGCGCTGCCTATCGATGTTTCTGTACCCCCGAGCGACTTCATGCACTAGCTGCATATCGAAACTCAAAAGGGCTCCCTCCCAACTATGACAGAACATGCATTCATATACACAAAGATGAATCCGATGAAAAAGCAGCAAGAGGAGAGGCTTATGTTGTTAGGCTTCAAGTACCCAGCAAATACCCAGCGTACCGGGATATAGTTTACAAACTTGTCCAGCCACCAGTGATACCTGGAATTCAACTTTTAGTAGATAATTATGAGGATCCGATCTTGATGAAGTCGGATGGATTTCCAACCTATCACCTAGCCAATGTTGTCGACGACCATCTTATGAAAATTACACATGTAATCAGAGGCTCAGTATGTACCAACACTTCTTTCCTTCACATGGCAATCTCAGACTAAGTGTTCGTAGGAATGGATGTCTTCAACGCCGAAGCATCTTGCCATATATCATGCTTTTGGGTGGAACCCTCCAAAGATTGGCCATGTCAGTCTTCTCACTGATAAACAAGGCGCAAAGCTCAGCAAAAGGAATGGCTCTGTTGACATATCCACCATAAGAGACACCATGGGAGTGTTTCCGGAGACACTCAATAATTTCCTTGCTCTTCTTGGATGGTCTCATAGTGCAAAGAGCGACGTCATGAACATGGAAGAGTTGATTCATAACGTATGTGCTCTTGGCTACTTTTCTTATGAGAACCTTTCATTGACTTCTCACTCCAGGCCACACTCAAATATACGCGAGGAGATACAGTTGTCGCAATGGAAAAGCTTTGGTTTCTCCAAAAGCGACATGCCCACCGCTACGCAACAACGCAAATGGATTCCCCTCTTTCCGATCCTCGTCTGGATTTGGTCAAACTAGCAGTCATTCCGGTTGTCAAACGTCTTGAAGAAGTGGTATCCAAAAGGACTGATCGTTTCTTCAAATCTTTCCCAGCAGGAAAGGCCCGTGAAGATTACGTTCGAACCTTGGTCTTTGGGGACGCTCTAAAGTATACCACAGCCGATTCATTCATCAAGCTCAACAAATTCTTCTTCATTACTCCTCTCCGTCGAGATCTTGTTGCGAATCCACCTCCTCCAATCCCATCTAGCCAAGTGACAGGGGCCAAGGCCCCAGTTCTTCTCGAATTTCTACCCCAAATTGACGCTTTCGCAAGACTATCAGCGGATGAATGGACAGACGCTAATATTAAAGCTGTCACCTCGGAAATTGTGGATAGAAATGCCAAAGAATGCTTTGAACAATCTTTTCAGGGTGACCATTCTTCTGAGGCAGGGAAAGCTTTGCAGAAGACGTGTCAGAAAAGCTGGCTGTCATTTGTTCATGGATATGTGAGATGGGCAATTTTTGCCAAGCAACCTGGCCCTGATGGGGTGTTTACGATGAGACTCTTGGGTAGGGAAGAGTGTCTAGGGAGATTCGAATTTGCCAGAAAATTCCTAGCCAATGCGAAGTCTAAAGAGGCGGAAGAGGAGGAGGAGGAGGAAGAGGATATGTTGCACAAATACCTGTAACGATAGCGCATACTATTATCTTGTACATTATGTAGAAAGAACAGACGCACGTTTAGACTTGTGTTATATGTAGCAGTATTTCAATGTACTGAATCAATCTAATTGCTTTCTGTCCAGCGTGGTAAATTCGAGTAGTTGAGTGGAGTAGTGGTACCTACTCAACTCAACTCGCCAAGTACTCGATTAACTTATGAGTAACTCGAGTAGTGTCGGCCCGAGGCCCCGTAGCGCGCCCCGGCTCGCTGGCCGACTCCGGACGGGCGGTCCGCCCACGTATACTTAGCCGAGTTCCCCCCGGCCCCCCCCCCCGCCTTAGATGTCGGGGCTAATAAATGGTCTAGACAACTCGCCCCGCCCCCTCCCCTATATACGACTTGTTATAGGCAGGGTATAAGCCTATAAGTTATTAGAAAGTAATTAAGAAAGAGGGTAAGGGGGAAACCCAAGCTAGCTAGACCCTTTATAATTTATAGAACAGGGACATGATCTCTTTAGTCACGTTTTATATAACTACTCGAGTATTACTTGAATAGTCAAATCCACTACGCAACTCAACTCAACAGAATCACTTAATCATACTAATTCAACTCAACTCGAGTACTACTCGAGTCGGGTTGAGTATTTGATTAGAAGTGTTACCACGCTGTTTCTGTCTGCAGACTACTACGACCATAATAATTCTCTTCTCGCCAGCAGTACGCCGGAGATGGCACGTCACCGTACGGGCAAGAATTTCGCCATCTCACCAACAACGACCTAGTGCACATTGATCCTGGCCGTCATGCCCCCAGCACTAAAGAAATCTGACACCCAGAAGTCAAAGGCAGCCGTCAGTTGAAGCTCGTGGAAAGTCCAATAAAATACTATTTCGTTCAAGATCAGATAATACTCGCGAAGGGAAGAACTTCAGCTATCCACTTCCCATGCATTCCCCGCGAGAGGACTAAGCTAACCTTTCCCCCACGAAATCATCCACAGTAATCTGGTCGTCTGGGTGCTTACGCTTGTACGCCTCAACCTCTCCTAAGAATCTTCTCCCTACTGTCTCATTTTCGCCATCTCCTGAGTACAATTCCGCTCGATTTCTCCGACTCTACAGTCACGCTCCATATCTAGTTCCTTCATTTGCTTCTCACGCTCCGCTACTAGTCTTTTCTATTTGAGCTCTGAGCCTTGAATGATTCAAGGTCCCTAGCTTCCTTTTTGAGTAGCTGATCTTCGCTAAGCTTGCAGTCCGGATTGAGCTCGGGCGTTGCTTGCTCGGTCTCGAGATTTGAGGCTTGCTTCATGGTTGTTATCGTTTGATGTGATGGTTTGAATATTTTTGAGGTCCGAGTATGATTGCTTCATCGGTGACGAGGGAAGGGTTGGTTTTCAGAGAGGGGCTAGCTATTGAATCAACTTAAACTACAGTCAACGCTCGGAGCCAAAGAGGTTGAAAACCCAATTCGCTGGAACTCTTTCCTCGCATTCTTGGTAGAACTTAGAGGTTGTTATCATTGCGTGCTGTTGGAGGATAGAATACAACTATTATTTGTATGCTAGTATGTCTTGTTCACCTACTGTAAGAGATTAGGTCTCCTACAACTGTCACATTTTCATATATAATTAAAGTACATACGCCCTCGAATCGTATGTCCCATTTCACTTATCTACCTTCTTTCGAACTTTGGGTCTAACGATTATGTACTTCAGTAGTAAGACAAGTAAACAACATACACTAGGTAGTTCCCAGTTGATAGGCAACTAACATCTAATTACTTTAGTACCTATTTTAGCTACAAGATCTACTGAATATCCTAGCCCGCACACAAATTCCTAACCTTCTTCACCCTTGATCGCCTCACAAAACACAATTCGCCTTGCGTAACCCATTCAAGAAACCACAACCCAAAAATACCTCAAAAAAAAAATCCCAATAAAAAATTTCAACAACTCAACTAGGGAAGATATAATTATATAACAAGTAACTTAACTCTATTACATAATTATATATAAATTATCTAAAAGAGTCCATTATTTATGATTATTGTAATTAATTTCTTGGCTAGGGAGGCCCAGGAGTAGGCCTACTTTAAAGTGATTTAGACTAATAGGAGGTAATGACTTTTAGTACCGTCTAGCCTTAACACTAAATTTTTTGAGTTAGCCCCTTAACAAACACCCCAAAATCAATGTTATTACTATAACTACCTGCGAGCTGCTTTTAACAATACCCTTCTTGCAATTAAAGAGGCTTCGGTGGAACGAGAGGAGTCTGTAGACGAGGTAGACGAAGAGGACGAAGAAGTGGTGGAATAAGGTATTAAAATGTAGCCTTCTTTACTCCTTACGGAGCGTAATTTAGTCCTATTTTAAGTGTCTTCTTATGACTAAAAGTGGAGAAAATATAATCCAAAGACTCTATTATTACATATATAATTTAGACTCTATTATTATGTTTATAATAAATATAATTTGACCAACCCTAAACTCAACCAGCAAAAAGGTTCAGCCCGTGCAGTTGTCGCTCTCGGTTTTGGTTATTTTTGCTTGCCTAATCCTTGTCGTACCTCGATCCCCACGCAATATGGTTTTGAATAAGAAAGTTACGCCTAACACCTCCCCGCCATCCTTGCTTTGGTTTTTGTATCCTAGAATACATTGGCTACTTGCTTATTGGGAAGTTTATAGAGAAGCTAGGGTAGGGTATGGGGCTTATTTGTGGGTCGATGTATTTGCGGCACGTGATGAGGACGGTGAATTTGATCGCGTTATGATTGATAGGACATAGAGGTAGGGTGCGAGGTGTGGAGGGTTGAGAAATCATGGGAAATATAGGTAGTTGAGCATGTATATTAGATCATGAGTTATGAAGTCAAATAACAAGCAGTTACCTGAGTACATAGTTAGGAAACATTAAATAGCACCCACAATCGGTTTCTACATGGTTTAATAGTCACAAATTCTCATTGCGTTTCGTCTGTAGACTAACTACTATGGCATCATCATAATTCATTCCGTCCACCTAAACGCCTCTCATATCTGTACGCCGAGCAATGCTGCCAAGTCGCTAAGATCTCATTGGTTTTGCTGAATTCCGTCCCTTCTATGAATTGCTATTCCTATGAATTTCCCCTCACGTTGAGGATTTTATCGCTTCATCTTGAGCCGGTGGTTCCTTAATTGGGGTGCCATGGACTGCAGTTTCTTGGGCTGGAGCATCCTCAACTGGAGTATCCTGAACAGTGGCGTCCTGTGCTGGAGTGTCATGAGCCGGAGCGTCCTGGACTGGAGTGTCCGGAACCACATTCTCTTTACCAAGACCATTGAAGAGCTTAGCCTTGATTTCTCCCGCCATTAAACCAGACATCTCTTCCCCCGCAATCTTGTTGCCATCTTTCACCGCCTTATCAATTTTCTCGTCAACTGCCTTGTTACCTTGTGCTCCTGTTGGGCCTCTACCTGCTCTTGATACCAAAGATGCAGCTTCTCGAACTTTGGAGCTGATATCGAGCATCTGCTTGCTGCTATATTCGCGATTGGTGAACAATGGACTTTGACTGAGAGTCTGTACCCAATATTTGTTCCAGAGCAATTCCAGGAGATGTGTATCGAGAGAGCTTTTGTAATGGGACACCTCTAATGAGTAATATCGATCGGCATGGGCACCAAAATCCTCAATCTTTGCCAAAGGGATTGTTTGATATCCATCGTCCACTCCAGAGCTTGGGGGCTTATAGTTTTCAGGGTATGTTCTGAAGGCTCCAATCTCGACCTTTCCGGCGGAGATGGTACGATCTGGGTCGATCACCACAGCGAGGAAGGGATCGCTGAATGTCTGCTGCGTCGCTTGTGTGCCGACATCAATACCACTGAGCCAACATCCGTAGCCTGGGTGACTATGATACCATCCGACTGCATTCTCCAGCTTTCCTTGGTCTCGACACGCTTGTAGGTACCCCACCATGTATTCGTTGGCCTCGTCCTGAGCATTGACTCTCGTCTCGGTTCCTTCTACCGGTAATCTAAAGGCATCCGTGACAATAAAAGTGTCCCCAGAGAGTTTGCCCTGCATCAATCCCATGACTTCAATGTCACCACCCGAACGGGCATGCATCACCATTTTGAGGAGAGCGACTGCTGAGATGCGCACATTTTTGAAATGATGAGGGTCCGATTTCCAGGGCTTCGCATCGTTCAGGGCCTTTTGCTCGGCTACATCGTAGGTGTACAGAGCATCGCGTTGCTCATCGACCAACTTGACGTTGTTGTCGAGCTCTGTTATCGATAAGATGGGTCAGTGGAGAGTTCAGAAAAGGCACGAGCGGGGTGGAGGGTGGAGGGTGGAGGGTAGGGAATGAGGATGAGCATGATGATGAGCATGAGCTTACCCCACGTCTTGTATGCAGTCTCCATGATGCAGAACGAGTATGGTGTTGAGAGACTTCTGATGGTGTATGGGAATGAGATGGAGTCGGCAGTTGACAGGTACAAGAAGAGCTCCAAGAGCTTGAGTGGTAGCCTTGCCCGCAAAGGCTGGTTGGGCTGGGCTGGTTGGGCTAGGTAGCCTAGGCTGGGTGTGGCTAAGCTAAATTGACCTAGGCACGCTAAGTAGCTCCCTCGGCCCCCACTCCCACTGCCAGGGCCCCTGGTGAAGGTTGCGGGCCAGATGACTAGTGGAGTTGGGGGACGCTTTTATAGGGCACAGCAGAGGTTGCTACATGGCAACGTGCCGCGGGCAGTTGCAAAACAAGCGGGATCTACTCTTTTGACCTCCATTCGCTGCAACCTCGATTGCCCATGAGATCTCCATCGCCAATCCCACCAGCCGCGCGACTTGCATGCACACAACACCATTGTTGATGCGCTGTCGTCCGTTCATTGACTTCCATCGGGTCTCCCCAATCGCAATCGCGTACCACTTGTTGTTGATCCATTCAATTCTTTGTGTTCACCGAGTTGCAGCTGCGACCTCATCGGTGGATCGCTGAGACCTGCGACGAAACCACACATCCCACCACACCTCAGATTCCCCGCTCTCTCTCACGATGGATACCAATTACCTCTCCTCTCAGGTTTCAGCCATCATCAATCAACTCCATGGTCTCTTCGATGAGATTGGAGTCCCTAATCACGAACGCGAATCTCGAGAGTCCGAGGTAAGTGACACCCGCCGACGCTCCCAATTCTGTCCTTCAACAGCTGACTCTCTTAGCTATTCGCTGCGCTCTCAGAGACTTTACATAACCAAGTGCGACTAGTATCGAGTGAGAAGGAAGATATGGTTGAGGAATGCCAACGGATCATCACCACGATCAAACAGATGGAATCCTCGTTGGATGATGTCAAGGAATATCAAGATCAGGACACTGAAGAGTGCGATCTGAAGATTACTTATCCATTGGCGCGTTGTTTGCAAATTCTGAAGGAAAAGCACCAACACATTTCCAGAATCCACAAAGAGCGCTTCGAGCAAGTCAGAAGTAAGCCCACAATAAGACCTCCACCTGCTAGTGCAGTTTGCGCTAACATACCCAGAACTTGTACAAGCACTCGAATCATACTCGTCACACTTAGAGTCCTCCTTCATCCAGATTACACTACCTCCAACGGCACCCAATGCCTCGATTCCCCCCACCTTTGATCTCTCTCCCAAATACGTTAATGCCTTGGATGATGAATTCACCCGTGTTTACGAAGAATACACCCGTCGCGTAGCAACTGTCAAGGCACTGGCCGAAAACATCATTCAGCTCTGGGCCGAACTCGGAACACCACAAGCTCAGACGGATGGCATGATTGTAAAATACTATCGCGATTCTCCTGAACAACTTGGTTTACATGAGGAAGACTTGGCAAGATTGCGACAAAAGCGTGACAAGCTTTCTGATGAGAAGAAGTCCCGTGAGAAGCGTCTCAATCAGCTCAAGGGCACCGTGGAGGCACTTTGGGATCGTTTGGGCATTGAAGAACCTGAGAGAAAGAGATTCTTGAACAGCAATCGTGGATGTGGGGTCCGCCAAATCAATGAGTTTGAGGACGAATTATCGAGACTCAACGACCTCAAGCGACAAAATCTTCATCTATTCGTCGAGGATGCACGCTACAAACTTCAGGAGCTATGGGATGGACTGTACTTCTCGGAAGAGGAAATGCTAGACTTTACTCCTGCATTCTCTGATGTTTACAGTGACGCTCTTCTCGAAGCACACGAGCAGGAGATCAATCGATTGGAGGCTCTTAAGGAGCAGCGCGCACCAACTTTAGCATTGATTGAAAAGCACCGATCACTCGTCAAGGATCGCAATGATCTTGCAGCTTCTAGTCAAGACGCATCACGATTATTGGGTAGAGGTCAAAAGGGCGAGAAACGTGATCCAACTCGATTGTTGAGAGAGGAAAAGATGAGAAAGCGAATCACAAAAGACTTGCCAAAGGTGGCGATTGAGCTGAGAAAGGTTCTTGAGCAATGGGAGGATGAATATGGCCGACCATTCCTTGTTCATGGAGAGAGATATCTCGATGAGCTCGAGGCATCTGAAGCAAAATCTGCACCCGGTCCTCGATCTAAGACTCCTGCCGGTCCAGGTCCAGCACCTCCCTCGAGAAGCGGGACCAAATCTTGTCCACCAACTCGTACAAATAGCTCAAAGGTACAAGCACCATCCAGAGCCAAAACCCCCACAGCTGGTGGCACCCTCAAACGTAATGCAGCACCCCCCTCTACCGCCGGCGGAAAGTCTCCTACAAAGATTCCATCCCGAACTCCACTTACACACTTGTATAACGGACATAATTCTCCAGATCGTAGTGTTCGCCCAGAATCTAGATTGGATGGTACCATTCGTGGCAAGATGGGACCACCTTCGCGAGCTCCACCACCAAAGATGAGAGATATATTTGCGCCACCTCCTGTATCTACACCAGTTTCACTTCAACGCTCGGCCAGTGTGATCTCAACTGGAAGTGTTCGACAAGTTATGCCAGAAGATCCCTATGGCTACCCACAAGATAATGACCACCGATCTCATGGTTACTCGCAAAGCTCTGATCACCACCGCTCGCAAGGCTACTCACAGGAGCATAACCACCGATCCCACGGTTACTCTCAAAGTTCAGACCACCGCTCGCAAGGTCACTCACAAGATCAATTCCATCGATCGCAAGAGTACCAGGACTTCAACCGATCAATGCATCAAAGTCAGCGTTTTACTCAACCAAATTCGTACCCAGCTGCACCTCCAATCCGACAAATTTCGAATACTTCCTCGGCAACCACAACCATATCTGGCAGTGAAAATTGGGAAACTTATTCTGAAATCTCTGAACCCGAGGAAGATGCTTCAGACGCATATTTGGAAAAGCTTCGAGCTGCTCGTGGCAAGCGCTTCTCTCCTGAAGATGGACACCCCCTTCCACAAGCTGGCGATCAGAAGCAGTTGAGAGGCGTACCTCCTCACGAAACTCATGCTGGCCATGATTCCCATGGAAACCGTATCATTTCAGGTAGCGAGTCAAACTGGGTTACTGATGAAGATGCTCACTGAAGTGGGCTATTTTTTATGATTTGCTACCTTGCTACCAGCTATCCTTTTACTTTCGAAGGGATGGATACGACCGCACCACGCATAATGTTGACGATGATGATCCTTGGATACAGTAATCTTGAAGATGACACAATCGCATTACCTTCGTCGACATTGTTTTCAATACACCTGTACACTTTTCGATCACATCATTCCAACCTTTCTTTACATGTAATTTCTTTCTTCTTGTTTCCACAAGGATCACATTTGTTTGACTAGTTGGCTTTTCTTTTCTTTTCCTTGGGTAGGGGAATATCAGCACCAAATCCTGGGAAACCGCAACCACATACTACACTTTGCGATTTTTCTTTTTGATTTGGCGGCCTATGGTGAACTATTGTGTGGGGGGTAAAAGGGGTGCTGGGCTTGTCAGCTGGCGTTCAACACTGTGTATTTAAGGCGTACGTTTGCGCTGTTTTTCCAGCAGCAGAACCGTTTTGTGGTTTGGTCTGGATTAGATAGGAAGAATAAAAAAGTAATTGTCCTTTACTGATAACCAAATTTGTGAGATTCCTGTGCGTGCTCTTGATAATTTCAGGTGTTTTTCTGCAATGTGATGGCTTGTTTTGCTATATTCCCACGCGCTGGATATAATCAGCGGTATGTTTTGATGGTACACCTTTGGACACCGGGTGATTAGGGAGCTTGGTATGTTAATATTATAATCGAGATTAACAAAAGTAGATGCTATGCGTTTACTTCTAATACATACTCCACCTATTACTCTATACTAGCCTTATAATCTCGCGTGAGGTTACTTTTATACCGTATAATTTCACGTGTATAGAGACAGAGAGAGGGCGAAAGAAGATAAGGAAGTTAATATATTATTTACTTTAATACTACTTCCCACCGTTTAGAAGACGTAGATATAAATAGAGTTTACTTACTATATATTTTCGCGCTTTTTATTTTCTCTTCTTCATTACTTTAGGTTATAACAGAAGAAATCTACAGTATAATAGTAATAATGAATCTTCGTTAATTATTTCTATTACTCTGAATATACTAAGTAATATAATAGCTTACACTTACTTCTACTAGTACTTATAGAGAAAAGAAATCGAGTATTATCTATAAATTAGGTTATTTACTAGGTAGTACCTCGTGCCGCTGATACCTTGGCCTATAAATAAGCCATGTACCTATAGCTTTTCTATATGAGGTAGAATAAGTAAGGGGCATCTGTATCTTACGATATGAAAAAGATAATAGTAAGCATAGCGGGGGCGTTCTTATCAAAGTTATATTGTATAGGGATCGAGGTACGACAAGGACAAGGTAGGGTAAATAGTACCGGGCTAAACCTTTTTGCTATTTTATTTTGTTAGGGTCTTGTTGTTTGATGTCTTTTTTTTTGACTTAACATTTCTTGAAATGGTAGCGCGGGTCTTGTTGGCCGCTAGGCCATAGCACTTTGTATATAATCTATCTCTTCTTCCCCATTTGATTCCTTCCCACTCACTTCCACATTCCTAAACATACAGCGGCTGATTCGAAATCGAACCTCTTAACGAGATTTCTGGAGCTTCCTATGGGTAGATGTAAGGTCATCTTTTAGGATTTTGTAGGGTCTAGAAAGTGAAAGTAGGACTTGCTAATGTGTGGTCGCTTTGACAGCACTTCCCATGTAGTCGGGATTGAAGAGGCTCTCATTTGCATCCACCTGTATCTACTACTTCGTCTCTATTGTTACTGTTGTTGTAGATATTCTAACACGTTCGACTATAAAGGGGTTAATTTACCAGAGTACTTGCTTCGCTTGATAGTCAGTGCGACTTCCCACAGCGCTGTCGCTTATATTATATATATTTACATTTCCCTTGAACTAAGCCCAGTAGGAGCGCAGTCTATAACGTATAGACTACGGTAGTCCATGACCATATAGTCTATAACAGGGGTCAAATCTTGCCGTTTTTAACCTAGTTAAGGCTAGTTTTAAATACCCCCTACTCTATAATTCTCTATCTACGAGCTAGTTCCGTCACTCCTCTACCTATCGCTTTACGCAGAGGAGGGACAGAACTAGCTATTACTACTACGAAAAAAATAAAAATTTACGTACTTACCTAGAGGGCCTACAGGGGGTACAGGGGGTATATATAGAATAAATAGGACTTACAGGTAGAGGGAGAGAGAGTAGGGGGATAGTCCCTACCTAGGACTAGAGGGAGAGAGAGTAGGGGGATAGTCCCTACCTAGGACTAGAGGGAGGGACTAGAAGGAGGGACAGGAGGGAGGGAGACTTACGAACATAGACCGACCGACAGATAGACAGACAGAAGGGAGGGAGACTTACGAGTACAAACAGACGACCGACCAATAGACAGATAGACAGACATATATAGCCGGTACACATAGTTACGCAATTTAGCTTAAAACGATAGTAAAAGTATCCTAGCGAGGTTACCGATAGTCGGCCCGTAGCACGCCTAGGTATTATTCCGACCGCTCCGACTAGGTACTAGGTACTACCTAGATACTAAGCGAGAAAGTTGAAAATTCGACTTTTTTCTCGTAAAGGGAGCTCGAAGGAGGGATTTTCAAGGGATAACTGGAATAAAATTATTTATAGCTAACGCTATAGTACTAGAAACGCTATAATACGTCGAGGGTATATATAAATAAGTATTCTTAGTATTCTAAGAGAGTTTAAAAATTTTTCAAAAGTTTATATTTCTAAAGTTCCTCCTAGGGCACTATAGAGTACGTAGGAGTCTATAACCTATAGACGGGAGTCCATGCATTATAGATCGGGGGTCCATAGTGTTATAGACTCCCGTGCTCCCACTGGGAAGCTGCTGATATATCGACTAATTTCACTTTCGGAATTTTATCCATAGATATCATAATCTAACCAATGAGTAGAGCCTGTTTCTACTATCTCGTGCCAATCAACCAATATTCTCCATACTCTTAATATGACTCACAGAGGGGGATGCCACTGGAAAACGCGTAGTCGAAGAGAATGTGATGGGATGCGATACACGAGCTCAAATAAGGCTTACATGTCCCGGAAATGCAGCCTGGTTGGCTACGGGTAAGTTATTATGAAAGTGGTCACTTCTCCTCGCTCCACTTTGGAGTGCTTGTCTTTTAGCTGCCTTTCACTTCTTGAAGAGCGCTTTTTGTTGTAGTTGTTGATGGGAATCCGGCGTGTAGACGGGTCATGCAACGCTTATTCAAGGGTAAGGAAGTTGAAGATGGGAAGCTGGTGAGAGGGTGGTGGGGGAGAGAAGTTTGGGGGTGTGAAAGGGTGTGGAGTTTTAGTGCTAGAATTTTTGAGTACATAGGTTGTCTGAGCGTCTGTTCCCTTTTGCCAAGTGGGTATCTGCCTGATGTTATTGCAATGGAATAGCAAGAAAGTAAGAGGAGTTAATAAATGAAGAGAGTTGAAATAATCAAATATCGACTTAGCTGACGAAATTCATGATCGGTGAATCTGATCCAACTGTGTTGCTATATGATAGTGAATGATTATAAGCTAGCTTGCATCGCTCCTTTGGGACTAGCGTACGATGGCATCTATAAGTATGTAGGGACTTATCTAGCTGAACTTGCTTCGAACATGCAACATAGGACTAACTTACTGCGCATAGTCTACTGTATCACATACATATGACGTAAAGTCAAACCGAACAACAGTTGGTACTTTGATTTTTGATTTGCTCAAGTCACTACGATCCGGCCAACTTGAAATCTTTACCCTTCTTACCATAACCTTCCTCCCTACGATCCGCAACCTCTCTTGAACAATCCAGCATCAAACACAAACTATCTCGCAAAGTCCCCCAGATCTCCGACGCGGTCCTGCTAGACACAGACTTCCCTGAGATCTCTCGCTACGATTGCAATCACAATCCCACCAAAAACACACATCAACAAGTCACCTCTCCCCCACCAACACCCTCAAATCCCACTATGTCACCACCCAACTCCCCACCTCCCAACCCAACAAGTCCAACAGCCTCCCAGTACCAACCCAAGTTCTTACAAAAGGACCCAGCCGAAAAGCAACGCAAGGATGCAGAGCTCCGACTCCAAATCAGAAATATGATATTGGGGGAGATAAACAAGGCGAAGGTAGCCAAGGCCAAGAAATTGGAGGAGGAAATAGAATCTCACTTTAAGAAACTCAAAGATGAACTTGAGGCGGAACGTGCTGAGATAAAGCGAGAGTTCGAGGTGAAACGTGAAGAGATGAACAAGGATACGAGTGAGACTATGCGTCGGTCCATTGAAGATGCGATGAAGGACTTTGATGTTGTGGATTGGCGCTAGAGTAGTCTTAGGAATATTTGTACCCTGCAAGTAGTTCGATGAACGTTGAGGTACTGTACTCTACAAAGACAACCTTTATGAAAGAAAATAAATCTCATCACAAAATTAACCAGTCATCTTAACCTTCTATAAGCCGGCTCCAACTTCCAAGGTACAAGTAAGAGACCCGGTTAATGCTCTACGTATACCACAAAAATCTATCATTCTAAACACTTACTAGGTAATTAACCAAAACAGTACCCCTAGCTTAACAAAAAGTAAACAATAAATTCCAATATCTTAAAACTAATAAACAAATGGAGAAACTAATCCAAGTATACCTTACCTATCTTCAATTCTAAAAAGGAATAGTAATCTGACGCTGAATAAGGGGTAAAAGACACAATTTCATTCCTTTCTTTCCATCCCTAACTCTAACTACCCGTTAGCAGCTACGACTCTTCATCGTGCGTCCCCCTTAATTATTTAGCGAGACACAATATCGCAACATGTCGGTGTAGCCGAGAGTCCTATACTCCTGTCTCTGCTACCTGACGCCCTGTCTTGGTTGCCTAGGTGGATGTCTAGTACTCTAGAGCCTTCCACTCGGTCAGACTCTCTTCTTGCCCCCTAGCTAGCTTCTCTTTCTATTCCAGCTTATCCATTCCACATAGTGCCCTCGTCTTCTGACGCACAACCTAGCAAGAACCAGGCACACAAGCAAGTAAACACATCCAAAACTCTGAAACACAAAGTTATATAAAAGGATCTGTTGATATCTCTTTTACTTCATCTGTTCAGGTCTAATCTCAACCTAGGCATCCCATGCCGCCATCCAATCCCACCATCCCAACCCAACAGACTCCAATAGTATATACAACCAATAACTGTAACCGAACCCATAACCAATGCAACAAAGGCCACTTGAAATGTCCAAGATAGGCAGTAATGAATAACCTTCTTTTCCCGAAAAAGCATAAACAAGGCGTAGCGCTATCCCATCATCCATGGCGACGTACCCAAAGAAGCCAACCCATATGTATATTCCCAAGCATATTGCTGACGCCACCCCCATTGTCCAAACAACAAACTCCTTCCCACTCTGGAATTATAAACATCTCCTCCACCCCCAAACTCTTATTCTGTTCGTTGGGCTTCTTTCATTATCTCCATGAACCCCATCTGAAACTCCAAAGACCTCAAGGCGTTGAATCATGCAATCTTGAATATGTACTGTACGTCACTCCGCAAATCGCGGGTCCATCTCGGTCCAAATCGACCCAGTGATGCAAAAATATGTATTCCCCCCTTTCTATCAATTTGTTGCCCCAATCGTCACAGGTGTTGTCAAGGGCGGCAAAGTCCCCGGGTTGAAGATGAACGCGCGATCAATCTCCATTGACCTTGCTACTCTTCCACCTGGCGTTCTCGGATTGGCTACATTCACACGTCCCCGACTAGATGCTCGGTTCGAGTCCTCGTCATCTGTCTGGTCATCATCATACTGACTTAGTCTTGAAAAATAATCGGCCAGACCATCGTGACTGGGTGTCCCGATGACATGGTCGTAAAGAGGTGGAGGAGTTGCAATTGGCGGTGGAGGCTCCTCAGCATCGAATGCTGGCGGATTATAACTTGGGTTTCGGAGCATGTGAATCGGTCGTTGTACGTTAAGACCTGTAGGAAGGTGCGCCTGTGGTGGTCTTGCAAGTTCAGGATATTCTGGTTGCTCGGCACCGTTCAAGTTGGCTAACGTTGGAATGCTGCCGCTTGAAGACGTAGGAGTTTGGGCACTTTGAGCTGCGTTTGGACATCCACACATCCGAAGAGGCTCTGGAACACCGGAATGTGGACCAGAATATTCAGGGAGAGCCAAGTTCGCTTGCGTAGCTCGACAACTAAGAATTGTAAATGGAGAATCAATAGAAATCTCAAAGTGTCGTCGCTTTTTGCCGGTTGGATCGTCCGCATCCACACGTGATATACGCATAATTATCTGAGGAGCGATTAGTACTTGTTCCATCCCCCACCAAGAAGATTGCCACATACCTTAATCCAGTGGTGGACGCTTACACATTTCCATGTGCAATCCGGAACAAGCCGCTTCGACCTATCTTTTTCCATCATCTCACAAGTAGGCAGTTGCACATTCATCTCCATTTCCGTCTGACCCCAGAATTGCTCCAGGCCAAGGTTCAGATCACCAAGTAGGTTTTCCGAAGGTTCTGGGAGGGGTTCGGGCTCCATGCCAACCTGATGGGCTTCATATTGTCTCCTTCGTTCGGCGTTTTGCCGTGCGTTTGCTCGATCCTCAGCACTCAACTCTCCGCCAGCCAGAACGTTGACCTCTGAGCCGACGAATTGTTTGCTGTCCACGGGCTTTCCTGCCACTTTCTCGAGTAGCAGCAGTTTTCTGGATGCATCCTTCCTCGTTACCCTCCTGTTATTCGTGAAATACTCGATATTTTCAGTAAGGTAAATCTTAATTTTGTGAACTTGTACCTTCGCCAGGGGCGTAAGTTTGAATGCAATGGGCATCTTGGACCCGAGTGGAAATGACTTTCCCGAGATCATTATTTCGTATTGCAGTTGATCCTCCCATTTTCGGCTGATAGAGATTGGTTCGACTAGCTCCAGAGAATCTTCAGATGGAGTACGAACCACAGGAATCTCCTTGAATCCTTGTAGATCGGATTTGAAGGTGCCAGCTCGTTCTACAACTGCCTCTAACATCCAGACGACCGAGGCCAAGGGTAACTTGATCGTTTCCGGGCTGTTGTTGTCGATTGGAAGCTCGAAGCTGTACTCGTATACCCCAGGATGGAAAAGTTTGTAGCCCTTCTGTTGTGGTGTGGGTCCAAACAGTGAATCACCTTTCTGAAAACTCCGCGACTGGTTATTCTGCAAAGACAGTCTCTTCAACTCCTTGGCCGATGTTAAAGTACTTGACCTGTTTGATCTACTTGTAAGTGCTGGTAGGGAGAAGACACTTGTATGTGGAGAGTTTGGCATGTCGGGCGTATTTGACAAAGTGGTCAAGTTTGTGACTGAGGAGTTTGCTGACTTGTCTCGGAATGCGTAATTGCAGTGTGTTCCATAACCGTTTTCTGATCCTTCGTAGAGAGCGTTAAAAAATGGCAACACTTGGCATCTGAGCGAGCTTTCTTCGAAATTTTGTGTCTTTTCTGGAGGGATTCCTATAGTATTATAAGCTTCCTTTCCTGTGAAACTTCAACAATGAGAAAAACGTACCTTCTGGCCATTCTGTCCGAGCCTTGCCCGTAAATTTGAGAGTGACAGCCTTTATCTTTGCACTCTTGGTAACGTTCAAGAGCAGTTTTCCTCGAAGAATGGCAGTTGAAGTGGATGGAGAATCTCTGGTGGTTCCATCATGATCAAGCCCCGAAAGAAATATTACAGGCTCAGCCAACTGAATATAACATGCAACACCATTCCCCGAGCATATAGGCTTCTCAAGCGCAGCACTCTTTACTGGCATTATTGGTGCCGCATTAGAATTGTTCCATCTAGCGCCACGGCTATCTAAACTAGGTCGAGCCGGCATTGCGTTGGTCTCTCCAACTGGCGTTTCCGCCCTGGTCTCCGCTGAAGTTACCCTCCGAGCGTACAGTGACGTGGGATCTGCCTCGGCGGATGATAATGATGGCCTCACTGATCCGCCGACCTCCGGACTATTGGATCTTGTCGAGCTTGCAGCGGAGGTTGAGGAGGCCGATGAGGAGGCCGAAGAAAAGGTGGTAGAGAATGGAGAGAAAACGGCTCCCAACACCCGTTTTGCGTTCTCGCAAGAAGCCAGCTTTCCTAATTCTACTCTTATACGTGAAGGTTTCTTGGGTTTGGGTGGGGGCGGCAGTGGGCGCAGATCGAGGGGTACGTAACCAGCCGGCAGTCGGGTTATATGTATGGAGTGAGGTCTGCGTTGTCTTGGGCGACAAGGAGGCGAAGGCAGGCCAACAAGTTGGGCCTTTTGAGCGCGGGGAGGGGTTGGGGTGTAAGTAAGAGTACCACGCGTTGAGTAATAAGAAACGGCGGCCGAATCTGCCATTATGATTGTTAATTTTGCGGACTCCGAAAAACAAAAAAAAACTTTTGGGGACTGGGGAGCGGGTTGGTTTTAGAGATGATGGATGTTGGGTCTGTGTTCAGCCATTGCCTGCCGTTTGCAGTTGTCGAGTGATAGCAATAGAAGAATTATGTGCAACGTCTGCCAAAGCGCCCCAACATCAGATGTGCAGTGTCATCCAAAACACTCGCGCAGGGAAGAGCCAGTGAAGGTTTTGCGAAAGGGATGGACGCGGGGCTGAACCCACGTCGACCCAGATTGCCCATCATGCGACGGTGAGTAAGGAAGGGATGTCGACGAGGGAAAGTTTGTGCAGTGGTAGGAGGGAGGAAGTAGGAAGTAGGTCGACCCAATGATGCCCGTACCAGACACTAGTGGTGCCGTCGGGTAGGGGGGGGTAGCGAGGGTAGCGAGGGTCGGAGGGAGTGGTATAGGGTATAGGAAGGGGTTCACTTACACTTGCGCCGGACTCATAGCATAGCCTGCATCGGCGAAGAAGCAAGCGGTGAGGTGTGCAGGTGTTGACTGGATTTGTTGTCACGGGCGAGTGCCAGGAGGGCCTAGAGAGTGGTTTGCAGGTGCTTTGCCTTCCCGATGCCAGCACATGAACGTGAGCGCCAAAATCCAGCAACCAAAGACCGGTCGTGGTACGAGGACTGGTACTGGTAGTGGTAATGGACTGGTACTGGTAGTGGTAGTGGACTGGTACTGGTAGTGGTAGTGGACTGGTCCTGGTAGTGGTAGTGGACTGGTCCTGGGACTGGTACTGGTCCTGTATCAAACTCCCAGCGAACTCTCTCACAGGTGAAGGGTGATTGAGACAGAGGGGCAACTCCAGCTTGCGTTGCGCTGCTTCGCGTGTGCGGTGCGGTTGTGGTTCGTACCCCGGCTCCAAAATGGGTCAATGACGCATGTACTCGAACACCAATGAGGGCCCTTTTCCGAGTCGACCGCAACGGTGTTGATTCAGGGCGACCGAGTAGGGCGATGGGTTGGGCTCCGTGGACGAGAGACGAGGGACGAGGGCCTTAGGCGCGGTGAGAAGGCAAGAGCAAGTTCGTGATGGGGAGAGAAGAGTGAGGCGAAGTGGAGAGAGAGAGAGGGAAAGGGAGAGGAGCAGAGGAAGAAAGGGAATGGGAAAAGAGAGAGCTTCACTCTTTTTGCACGCAATGCAGCGATCTCCACAATGATGGAGGGGTAAGCTTCTCTTCAGGCGCAGCACAGCACAACACAGCACACGCAGTCAATGTCCATCATCCATACGGTTTGGGTCAACGCTAGCCTTGGTAGACACTTGCTGGCCATGGGCAATACTCCTTGGGGAGCTGGCCTGCGCCTACGCCTACGCCCACGGTACTCGTATTGCCGGGACCCCGAGAAACAGAAATGCATGCGAGAGGCGGAGAGTGATGTAATCCGCATTGCATTGTGGGTGGACAACTCGAGTATATACTCTACTACAACTATAATGTACAAGTGTATCAACTTTCTCGGATATGTGCCGGTCTACACTACGATCCTTCACCACAGTCCGAATACTCCCTACTTTACCTGTATACGTTGCTGTGACTTAGAAGGATATTGGAAGTAGATTACTCTTAGAATTACCGAGTAATCCAATCCCACGACTGGTATAAAATCCATTGCTCGCTTCTTTATGCGAGACTCTCCTCTCCTCTCCTCGCCACCCCGCTCTACGCTGCCCACTCCCCACTCAACCAGGTGCAAAGCGAGGCACTGCCCAAAGCCTAGCATAGTAAGCAACCCCAGGTCCACGCAAGAGCCTAGACCATAGGGTAAGGGTATCCCAGGACGGTTACCACGCCTGTGTTTGAGAGGAACTAGTCCGCATCGTCCAACCATGTGCTGCCATTATAAAGTATAGGGCTGTCTAAGTAGGAGTATGTGGAAACCCTGGTCGCAGCCAACTATTTCAAAGTGGCCCAAGTTTCACGACTCGACTTGGCATCGAGCCTATCACCCATCTTCGCGAAAAATAAGACTTTCTGTCACAGGGGAGCTCCTTCAACCACGTCCAAAGTCCCCTCTGCCGAGCCGAAGTCGTTGTCCATCATATGACGTCGATCCTTCTTGGATCATCTTGTATATCTAAGACATTATGGCATGGTGTCGTTGACATTCTTGATCGAAATATTGCAAACATAAATAAATATCTCCAACCATCAACCTGCCGAAGTTCTGACATGGACATCGAGATCTCCAAAGTTCGGCAAGCGGAAGGGTGACTCCGTCTGCAACGCCGTGATATCTCCTTTGACATCTCCCAAGTACTAATACCAACAGTTGCGGTTTTAGATGTGAATGCCATCGTTGCCGTAGACGGCCGTTTTCGGGGAATTCATGGAATTCATGGAATTCATGGAAAAAACGCCTCGAGCTCCCGGAACACCGGGAATGATGAGAAACCATCGAGTGGCTGCGGTAGTGTACAGTAGCTACGGCTGGAGCTGCGGGTCAATGATTCCATTTTGAACGTTTGTTCATCCGAACAATCCAGCCCAGATCTTCCCAGCTCGAGGCTAACAAGATGCGGTGATGGTCGCAGTGTTGGTGATCTTTGCCCAAGCAAGGAAAGATGTACAGATACCAGACGAACTTGCCCCGGTAGTAGAAACGAGTGGAATAAACACCTTCCGAATCATTCAAGGAAGTTCAAAGAATGGGTGTCTGAGCAAAACTCTTTACTTTTGACAATTGTTTCGCCCCTGGTGCTGGTGTGTTGTAGTAGTAGTCAGCGGGAGGGGGATGGGACGGGTGAACGCGACGGCAGGATCGCTCATATCTCGCCTTGGTTGGCGATGTGTGATGCGCCTCGATAGAGATACACCAGGGTGGATCTTGTGGGGAAGCCTTATCACCACCGGCCAGCTTATAATTTACCGCCATGCAATGTGTTGATGTTCATGCTGGACAACTCCAGACAAGGAGAGGTTGGATGGAAGACTAACTGCCCGGTGCTGGCAGCTTTCTAACTCATGTCTGTGTTCCAAAATGAGTCGTGTTTGGGCAAAAATGGTTTGGGAAATACTCCGTACTGCTAGCGCGAGAGACGAGAGCTGAAAATAGAACTGCACACGGCTCCGTGCTGAGTGTTGATACCTCCGTATTGAAACTGACATTGTGGCCTCTGAGAATAGCTTTCAATTTAATTTGTTTGCAATCTAAGAGAAAATCGAGGTTTACTTATAGCTGTTTTTGGAAAAGTTGGTTTGAGACCATAAAAACCCCGTCATGGGATTGAAGGAAAATTGCCGGAACGGGAGCGGGAACGGGAGTCATCGGAGAATCCCCTCCGGTTTTCCTCCGATATAGTTTGTCCGAACTCCCCCCGGAAGCAGTTCACGCGGCTGCAACGCGTCGACCATCGAGGTAAATCGTGAATACAGCAGGAGGTCGCTCCCGCCCTGGAAAGATGGATACGAATTCTTCCAAAACGTCAATACCTCTGAATGGCGCCTCTGACAATCCCAAGCCGCTGGCGGGTGTCTACATCTGCTGTACAGCCGTGGCAGAGGAAACACGCGTATGTTCTTTGCCCCCTCACCAAAACTCTTCTCAGTCATGATGCTAATATGGATCGGAGCGACAGACCAAAATCGCCGAGTACTCGGAACAAATGGGTGCGAGACATCGTTATGATCTGACACAGGAAGTAACGCATCTCATTGTAGGCGGACACAATACCGATAAATATCGGTTCGTTGCGAGAAACCGACCAGATGTGAAGCCAATGACAGTGGAATGGATTGAAAAGCTTCGGGACATTTGGATGAAGGATGAGGAAATTGATATGGAGTTCTTGGAGAAGCAACATACTCTGCCGACTTTCCATGGTCTGAAGTTTAGCATGACTGGATGCGACAATCGTAAGAAGATGGATTATCTCGACAATGGGCAATTGCTGATCATTTTTAGCGGATGATCGATCAGAAATCGCGGAGCAGGTTAGGTCGAATGGTGCTATTTACGAGGGCGACTTAACCAAACACATTACCCACCTGATCTCATTCCGGACGGACGGCGCCAAATACAATGCTGCTAAGTCTTGGGGCATCACTGTTGTATCCGTTGAGTGGTTAAGGGATAGTTTAGAAAGAGGGATGATCTTGGATGAGAGCCGTTACGATCCTCTGCTGCCACCGGAGGAACGAGGGAATGCATGGGATAAATCAAAGCCGAAACGGATATCGCTGGGAAAACGTGCGAGGGATGAAAGTTTTGGCGGGTCGGAAGGAGCCAAGAGGAAGCTTAGAAGGACTGCAAGTACGAAACTTAATAGCCAGAGCGAAAAGATGTGGGGCGATATAGTCGGGAGAGGTGGTTTAACAGAAGTTGCGCGGAGCGGTGTTTGGGAACCCCAGGTGTCAGCCCAGAACATTCAGAAGCAGCCGGAACTCAAACAAGAAGATGTCAGAGAAGGTATATTCAGTGGTTGTCGATTTTATTTTCATGGATTTATTGGGAAAAGAGTGGAAGTTCTCTGCAATCATCTTTTGCCTCAAGGGGCTGAAGTTGCGGTATCTCTGGAACAATTGCACTTAACATCATCGGCCAATCCTCCACAACGCCTTTTCATGATCGTTCCTCACGATTTACCAGTGTCACAACATCCGGCATTACCAGAGTCACAGCTCCTGATAGAGACAATCACCGTATTTTGGGTGGAACGTTGCTTACATTACAAGAAGTTTGTCGACCCCTCCGAACATGTAATTGGGCGTCCCTTTCCAGTGTTCCCAATTCAGGGCTTCGCGGGCTTGACAGTTTGCTCTTCGGCATTTTCTGGCATTGATTTATTGCATTTGAAAAGATCCGTGGAATTATTAGGCGCGAAATATAGCGAGGATATGACATCCCAGTGTTCCGTCTTGGTCACTAAATCACAATTGGGACTCAGAAAAGACAAGTATGAACATGCGATGGAATGGAAAATACCAATTGTGGGAGCAGAATGGCTCTGGGAATGTATAAAAATGGGCTCGCGGGTAGAGCCTAAACCCCACTGTTATAGGTCGCAAAAGCGCTCAAAATCTTTAACAGCCGGGGGCGTATTGCCTGTGAATGAAGAGAAGCGACAGGATCAAGCAAATAACTTACCAACGGCTCAAACTTCGAGAGCTGACAGTGTTCAACCGAAAGAAGCAGCAAGACAATCAAGTCCACCACCAAATGAAGTAACAAAGCAGCCAAGCCCACCAAAAGAAGCAGCACCAAAAGAAGCATCAAAACCATCAAGTCCGGCTTTGAATACCTCGGCATCATTTGTCACTGCCAACGAAGAGGGGCCTCATGAGAGCAGGGCACCGGAATGGTTTACTGTTGGGAGAGAAATACGAGCATCGGACGCGACATCATTTGACCCTTCATGTCGAACCGAGCCATTATCAGAACGAGACCCAAACTCGCCCACAAAAACTGTATCGACAGCTCCAGCACCATCAGGCCATCCCCATTCAAAGTCGTCAGAGGAGGATATCAGCAACGATATTTCCGACCTCCTCGCCAAAACTAAACGTGCCGTTCAACCCTCCAATGAGGCACCCGAGGGACGAAAACGCACCACCAAACGTATTTTCGGTCGAGTCACTTCCAATATCTCCACCATCTCGGCACAATCCCGTTCTGGGTCTGTAGATTCTACACATACGCCCGTTGAGAAGTCATTGAGTGGAGATGATCCACTGGTCTTATTACTTGGTCCTGGTGGGAAGGAGGACAAAGATGTGGATAGTCAGCCTCCGGCTACGCAGTTGCAATACGATGATCTGGAGAGTGTAGATGTGAGAGAGGGAATTCTGGCGCAGATGACAGGACGGCAACCTCCACCCAAGAGAGCGGGGATGAAGGAGAGGTCTGTGACATTGGCCATGGGCGATTTGGGAACGAGGAGAGCCACGAGACAAACGAGAATGAGGTGATCTATAAAGGTCTTTGGATAAACGCAATGTAAATGAGGGCCATGGATTGGATTGAGTATGAATGTTGTATAGACATGGCTTGGCTGGTAATGTTGAGCATTGCAGGGCTTGAAATGATTACCTGTGCCGCACGGATGGCAATGTACTATTGCAGTATCGATAGTGAATTGAATAAACCATGAATCATGTGTTTTTGGTGTGCCACGTTCTGCGACAACTTTATTGATGGTAAACGGTTTATTTTGCTAATTCGTGAAGCTGGTTGATTGTCTTGACCTTAGCTCGTGGAATTCAGGTGGGGGCTGTCAAGTGAGGTGGGCGGGCATTCACTGGACATGATCCTGAGGTGAAGCATTAAAATGCGGTGCCTGTTTGTTGCACATCGCATCTTGATGTGGGGGCCTTCTAGTGAGTCAGATGTTGATGGTGAGTCTCATTCAGAATCTTTCAGTCTTAAGCGAGTAAATAAAAAAACTCGGTTGACACAACAAATCTCACGTCCCTCTCTCTTCACCTTGATATCTCTTCAACTTTCGATTACATATTCATCCCAACTTCTATATCTCTAGACAAAATTCAACCTCAGCTTCCCAAATTCGGCACTGGATTGAAATTTTCTTGGGTACTGCGGTGCGTGACAAAACCGGTTTCCAAGCCTCGCTTCCAAGGTTCGTGAGAAGTTGTCTTGCGATCAGATGTTGATTAAAGGGTAAGATATCCGCATGCTTTGTTTTCATCTTCGAGTAGGAACCCCTTCTACTTTGACGGGACGTATAAGGTCTAACGACAAATTCGGGCATCTGTAATGGAGTGTTATCGTTATGACAATTATATCTTGATTCCACTTCTTATTCGACATATATAAACAGACCTACAGATCAGCGGTACTTGCCACGCTTTTAATAGCACATACCTCAATTCTCACTCGGATATTCCGTTCTATGTAGTTCCACTGCAAGAGTCAAAACGCATTGTTCTTTCTCCTTGATGTTGAAAGTAGAAACTTGAGTACCGTGACAGGTATTTGAAAGGCATCTTTTAAAGTCCTACTATAGGACCGTAAGTGACTGGAATCATGAGCTCGGCTGGCGGTCGAAAAAGATGTATGGCTACCGAACGTTGGTGGAGTTTAATCTTCAACAGTGCTAAACTATCATCCAAGTATGATAGGTTAAACAGATCATATTCCCAATCTCGCTGCCTCATGGGGTGAAGGGTATGAACAACCTTTCCGACGAGACATTTGACTTCACTTGATATTCCCCTTCCATCCCTATCTCGCTCCCAAATCAGTCGACATACAAGGGAAAGTGTATACCGAACAAAATATCTCAGAGTTGGTTAACTAGGAGATGAGTGAATAGCATATAGCAAACCCCGGGCCCCTTTTCGATTTCCTGTTGCGCCACTCACGATTTTCCCAAGCCTCCTGTTGTCAGATCCTTCTCGCTGTGACGTAGCGATGTTAGTGAATTGTATCAAACATTGACTAGTTAGCTTTGCTTCGAGAATGCTTCCCTCCTTGCGCACAGTACAATCCAATCATGATCCACCTGAACATTCCCTCCGAATACAATTTCAGCTGTCACTTCCGAAGTTTCCCCCCAGACTCATTTCCGCGACTGGGCTGAATCGAGACACTTGTAGTACGCAAGTAAGTCTGGGTAGTTGAAGAAGTAAACAAGCGAGGAGGGAGTATTAGAGATCAAAAGTTGTTAGAGGCAGGCATACGGGGTATTGCCAGGTAGAAAGTTGCGATGGTGTAGAAGAGGAGGTTGGCGCGTGCTAGGTGACCAAAGACGGGATATGTAGAGCTACCAACTGACCAGCACCCCTTTTTATAGGCGAGCATAAACACTAGCGAAAAAAGGATCACGGGCTTACGTTAAAAAGAGCATGGATTACACGCTTAATTCTCCACAACAATGCCTAGAGTAAGCGAAAGATATAGGATATTTTGGACCAAAGGAATTGGGACAAACATATGAATAAGGTATAGGAAGTGTTTTGGGTAGATTGGCTAAGGGTTACAACCTTTTTTTTCTTTTAGCTGCAGGACATTATATTATTATAAATCGAGATGAATTTGTATCCATCGATACCTCGCTCGTGAAGATCCCATTCCGAATCTGGATTTTAAGACACCGCCCATTTGTTTCGAATTTTGCTTTTGCTATTAGATGCCAGACTAGTATTTACAAGCGTCTATACCATTAACATGTAACGCTAAGGCTGCGTCGTTCGCTACTTTATTAGCTAACGTGGTAGCACAAGTAGGACTAGCGGTTTCTCTACGTAAGCATCGCTAACTAGAGCTAGTGTATCTAGGATCATTATAGACTTGGACGACTTTGAAGTATGCTCACTTCTTGAATGACAAATCCTCGTTTGTAAAGCGCTAGTTAAGTCGTTGCTTGGTCGCTTCGCGCTCGGCTTATAGGACGAGGCCCACTCAATGAAGAACCCAGATTCTCACAATAACAATCTTGTGTTCAAAATTGGGTGCCGTTTCAACGTCTTCAACTCTGCGCGTATTGTCCCCAATTCGCTGGGGTATGTTCGCGGTTCGGCCAAGGTTCTTTAGGTGGTTGCAGACTTTGGGACGATATAGTACTAGACTTTAAATAATGGCCCATTTCCCGTCTGAACACCAAAAACAGCCAAAACTTACTACTTTCACACCAAGATTATACGTCTAATTAATAGTAAAATACCCTATTTTATTAGCTCTACCTCTCTATATTTATATTAAACCTAGGGTTTTCTAAGCTAAATTTTATAAATTATTAAAGTGGGTCTTAGGATAGTAGAGCGCGTTAGAGTAACGTATTTTTGGCCGGAAAAACGTCGGTTTTATATACAAATTTTAGGATTTCTAGTTTATCGTCTCTTTAGTAACCTATATAAAGATAACGCTACTCTAAAATATAATTCCTAAGAGTACAAGTTGTTATTTCTATTCTATTTAATAAGTATATAATACAAAGCTTTCGTCTAACTCTTATAGTTATTGTTTTATAAAGAAGTGCGTGAGGTGACTTTTGGTGTAAAAAGGCCTCTGGGCCATTACTTAAAGTTGGGAACTGTAACTCTCTTTGGGATTTAGGGGTAACTAAGGCCACGAATCCATACACTCTTCCACGTGGACGCAGAGCCAGAAGTAGTTCTTAATCTAGTCTATTATAAGTATAGAATATAAGTTAAGAATCACCAATGAACGACCGGGCGAAGATTCAGACAGCGAGGTCAAATTGATGATGATGATATAAAAGAATATATGTTAAGGTGATAGTCTATTTGCTAGAACTCTAATGGAGAACTGGCTTATATGGTGGCTGATATGACGTAAGCTGGTCACAAAGATAAACAAATAGATAATCACCATACAAATGGAGACGGGGATGACGATAATGATTCGGAAGCCAGTTCTTAGGGCGGTGGTTTGGCGGTATGAGATGCCATGGGGTCGCTATCCAATTTCGCGACGCACAGCGGAATTGATTTTCTCAAAAGATTGTTAACGATGCGAACGTTGAAAGTGTTCAGCACATGTATATAAATTTGTACAACATCTTTGGTTTGACCGAATCTGTATAGACGTCCCAGATCCTGCTCCTCTATGCCCAGGTTGATGGCGTTATCAAAAGAAATGGTAACATGGCTGAGACCTTGCAAGTTTAGTCCAGTGCCCCTGCAATGGTTTCCCCGTTGAAAACCATAAAGTCGTTGAGATTCGTGGTGAAGCGAAGCGCTCGACAATCTAGTTTCTTCCAACCATGTCCAAATCAGAGGACTAGACCCAGACCATCTCTGAAATTCGGAAATTCCCAGATATATTGCGTCCTCAGGTCTACTATGGCGACACTCGTCGGTCATATTATGGCCATTGTGAGATGATTGTTGGGGATTTACGAGTCGCTCACGCACTTCAATATATCGAATCGCAATGCCCATTGCTCATCCGAGGTTTTATACCCAGCTGAGAACAGTCAATTGAAGATGATGATGATGATAGTAGCGGTTGAGATTCAGATTGACAACAAACATACTAATGTAACTATTTCTTCGAAAATATTAGGCCTAGGTATTTTAGGTAGCTTTATAAGGATATTCTCTCTTTTCTAAAGTAAGGAAAATTAGTAGTAAAGACTAGAAATATTCTTAACTTCTATTTTCTCTTTATCTAATAAGTTAGTTATAATATTATAGAACGCTCCCCTTTATCTTAGATAATTCGCTTAGCGTAGACTTATAAATACTAGTTAGTAGTAGTAAAGAGTTATTAAAGCTTTATAGGAATTATAACTTTTATATATTAAATAATATTAAGAAAATAAAGTTATTATCGCTATACGAATGAATACTAAGTGATACTCGGTATAAGTTATAGCACGTGCACGCTAGCTTCGTCCTAGCAAAGGCACTAGCGCCTTGGCACTACTATATAATAGTAGCTATATACAACCTTTACTCGGTGTATATATCTAATAGTCGAATACGATATTATTCTATTTATATAACACTTTATCTAGACTCTTTATTACAGTTAAACTAATAGTTATATATTTTTTATTTCTTTAAGTAAAGGGATTTAAAGAGAACTAATTACTTTTTATTAGCTTATATCTTTATTTATTAAGTAAGTTAATTATACTGACTTATATTTAATATACTTCTATCTATTCTAGTAAATATATTAAATAAATTATATAATATAAGTTAAATAAAATAAAGGTATTTTTTAAATAGAGCTTTATATACTAGTATAAGATAATTAAGAACTAGAAATATATATTTTACTTTATTAAATACTACTATTATAACCTATATAACTCTTAAGATAATACTAAGAGCTTTAATAAAGTCTTTTACTCGGTATATCTAGCGCTAATTATCTATAACGTATATGAATAATAGTTATAAGTACTATTTTATATAATTCTATTAAGTAAATTATATATACTAGCGCGTAATATTACAGTCTTATTCAAAAGCTTATTTAATATTAGCCTTATACTACTTATCTCGACGTATGTGTTAGTAGACATGGACTAGGAATTCGACCCGGATAACTGTTCTACCTATGTGCTAGCGGACCTAGACGAAGGCTTCTACATACGATATATTATCAGCCTCGTTCATATCACGTACAGCGCTATACGATTTACCCATCCCATGAGAGGAGAACTTGAGATTCTTGCCTTTGGAAGGGATTATATAGAATCATTCGCCCTCGGAGAAGACTCCCTCACGATTCTTGACATTTTCTTCACGGAGATTAGTCAATGTGTATGCCGCGCCATCAATCTCCTTCTAATTCTCTATGTCGGGGTTGCGGCGAGTGAACTTGAACCCTCCATTAGCCTTGCAACGCTTAATATAATCTTGCACAGCTTTTAGCATTAGTCCTTAGGAGGCGAGCATCTTTTAGAATTAGTTATAGACTCCGGGGGCCTTATGTCACAAATCACGTGCTAGCACGTGAGGAGTTAGTCCAGACGGGGTTCTGACAGGACAAACACATCATGGCTCTTATAGCAAAAAGGGATCGCTTAGGTTAGTTAAGCGATCCAGGGATTTCTTTGTATATAAGTCACGTGATATATGCAGGTCGACTTCAGGAACACGAAGGTTCTATATAAGACTGGCACGTCTGCCATTAGATAGGAGCTTCGTGCTCAACTTAGTTATCAATCTTATCATATTAGTTTGACATCTTTGATACAAGTAACGAGTTCACTTCCAAGTGAACAACCCGATAGTCTTCTTCTTATCATAGCATACCAACCAGCGAACACCCAGCCAAGTTTAGTTAGCCAGTTTGAGTATTCGTTACACCTTATTGCGCAATAGTCTCGGCTTAACCCATCTGTGATATAGAATATCCTAATATAGACGAAATAGCGGACACTCGAGAAAATTCTCTAGCTTTATTTTAAATAATTATATTTTCTAATTTAATAAGCTATAAAACTAGAAAAAGAACTTTCTTTAGATTATAGTTTAATATTTAATAAGAAATTATAGTCTAACACTAATTATACTAATTTAGTTCTTTTAAAATTTTAATTTATGTAAATTTAATCTTAATCTAAAGAATATTTAATAGAATTTATTATTAGTTTAACTTATTATTAAATATAAGGTATAATATAGGAAGAGGCTAAACCTTGGTATTAGACTATTCCTATTATTAATGTATATCAAGTCAAAGGTATAGAAGTCGTACCGCTATAATATAGGTAGGACTAGCCTAGTTAGGTAGTCTATACTACCGAGTATATTCACTCGGATATTATAGCGATACTAGGCCTACTTTAAAAGAAGTAAAAGACTCGGTATAAATAACTAGTTATCTAAAGTCCTTAACTAATTAAATCTATTAATTTCTCTTCTAATATTAATTAAGTCTATTAATACTATGACCGTGTGGAGTGAACCACTGCTTGCTGTGATGAATACTGAGTCAAACCGGAAACTGCTATATTGAACGAACAACTAAGTGAGAGAAGAAGAGAGTTCCAGAGGAACGAGAGCCTAAATACAGGAGTCCAGTAGCACGCACGGGCCATGCTACACGTGATCCGCCCCCAGTTCCTCCAACTCCGTAACATAAATACTATAACTTATGTTTTATTAATATATAAATATAATAATAAAGGATTCTTTATTTAATTCTTTTGTTTAAAGTAGTCTAAGTATATTAAAGTTATAATTAATTATTAAGTAGTTTATAACTTATAATCTGTGACAGTTTTTGATTTAGTGAATAAGGGTTCGCTTAGCGAAGTTGCGGGTGTACCCTTCCGTAGATAGACAAATAGCTAAGGAGTGCGAAGAGCGTCTCTCTTCCCTCCTTGCGAACAATCTATTCCTTGATCCCCACCATAACATATTGTTCGCCAGCTTTTTTACTCGTACAGCGTGCACATCGTCGCTGTACCTATTGCCCTTGAAATACCTTTGCCATCGCCCATCGCCCATCGCCCATCGCCCTTGCCACTCGAGCTCATCATGCCTGTATTCACAGTTGAAGAACTCCAAGCTGCCGTTGATAATGGTACGCTTGGAACTTTCATCACTGATAACAACGACACCTTTCAGCAAGGCTTACGTGACCTGCTCTCGCTCTATAANCAAGCTGCCGTTGATAATGGTACGCTTGGAACTTTCATCACTGATAACAACGACACCTTTCAGCAAGGCTTACGTGACCTCCTCTCGCTCTATAATCAAACCACCATCGACAAGAACACTGCAGAACAAGCACAGCACATCGCTGAGCAAGCTCAACAAGCCACTGAAGCAGATGCT